GATGTACTAAAACTTCACTGGGCAGGAGTGTCAGCTGCAATAACAGAACTGCCATTTGCTACCTTGAGTTTCTCAGGGTTTCCCAGTATCTCATACAAGTTGGTGCCATTGTGCACAACGTATTAAAAGACGAGGTAAATGTAAACTTGCCTGACTTCAATAGCTCAGGGAGACCCACAAAGAAGATACAGAAATACATACAAAAAAGCCTTCCCAAGCTATTATATAACTGAAAGTAGAAATCCAAAGGCTTTGTTTCTTTCTTTCTTTTTGGACTAAGTATGGATTGACAACCAAGAATCACAAACCACTGGTTTCACTCTCTTTTCCTGTGCAATAATGCTCAAGCAGAATCTCTTCACAAACCCAGCACTGCCTAGCATGACTTTGCCTATTTTCAAAGGCATGTTACATAAATCACAAGTTTTCTTCACTTTTCAACACCAGCTTTGTGCCTACCCCACACAGCTGTGAACTGAACCTTTGCACACAGCAGGAAATTTCTGACCACTACAAGCAGTTTCACATCTATTTGATATGTGCATTGCTTTACTAAGCACAAACAACCACCAAAAAAGCCAGGGAAAGGTCTCCATAACTATTAGACTCTCAGTTTCCACATTACTTCATGCAAATCATTCTGAGGGCTCTTTAGTGCATTTACATAATGCATACCCTGCCTTCTTTTTCCTTTTTAAATGCATTATTTTTATATTCTGTTTGCACAGAGCTCAAGTGATATACTGATAACAGGGAGCCTGCAATGCCTCCAGCATGCATTTGTGGAGCTTACAAGTACAAAAAATTCCTTGTTCCCCTGGTTACTCTCTCTAGATCTGCATTCTAAGACAAGAAGAAAGAGTGACAGCTTCCTGGCTGTCACCAGTGAACCCAGCTATTAAGGGAAGATTTTGAAAATAGATATTGTTTAACATTTTAATTTCTCCTCTGAAAACAAGTAGGTAAGAAGAGAACGGCCGTCAGTAAACAGGCAGTCTGAAAGAATTAAAGTCTCTGGAAGAGACATTAAGAACCTGGGATGTTACATGGCTGACAAAGCAACTGGGGAAAGATAATGTTTGTAAAATCATTTGCTTAAAGATACTTGGAGAAGTGAGTGGAACACAACAAACTGAGATTTTAAACTTAGGCTTTGACTGTTTTTGAGATTTTGACAGTGAGCAGATGCATTGACCTAATACTTCCTGGCAGTCAGAGTTTGGGATATGAAATTCCAGTTTTCACCTAGCAGGAAACATTTGCACATAAAATGAACAGCATGACAGAGCTTGCTCTGAATTTCAAGGAAGGGCTGAGCTATCTGTAGGAGACAGCATAAATCCAAAGTTTGGTGTATCTCAAGCAATCCTTGCAGGGAACACATTCAGCTTTCCTGATAAAGCAGCTGCCTGCTCTCAGGCAGGTCACATGCCAGAGAAATGCAAAGATTGAAGGTCTGATCCAAAGGTAATGAAGCCACTCATTACAGAGATTCCTGCACAGGACTTTCCCCATGATATTTTTGCTGTGTTTCCCATACCTGCAGTTCTACCTACTCACCCCTCCAGATCAGTAATGTGGACATAGAGCTAAAGAACATTCAGGAACATTAAACATGTTTCTGGCACACTGCACCAAGCATTATGCTACATCACTCACTATATCTCAGATCACATTACATCATGTCAAACATCCTGAAATTGAAATAATAGTACATGACACAAGACATTTGTTACATAATGTGATGTGACTGTTAAAATTTCACCAAAAATATTTTCCTGGTCCGGAGACCACTATCAAATCAGACTGTAGTTAATAAACCCAAATTGAATTTGGCACAGAGAGCATGAAAGTAAAACGAGAACAATTTTGTGCATGCATTATATACATAATCCTCTACTTAATATAATCATGTTGAGGTGGAGATGAGGATTTTCTTGTTTGAAACTGGCAGGCTTGTGCAGCTAAAAAAGTGGGGGTTTATTTGCGTATAGATGCAATAACAGAAATCTACAGTGGATAAAAAAATGTTTTCATGCACAGCACTGAAAATAAAATTTGTCATCATTTTTAATCATCAGGTGGCCTGAAAAGAAAACATTGCAGATAAAGCAAGTCTAAGAAGACTTTAATAATATTTTTTAGAAAATTCATATAGTATCACTTGTCATTTGTGATGCTTCCCAGCTGTTTTCTGGTGCAATTCCCATATCCTGTCCTGCTACAAGCAAATGTATTACATCCAAACACAAATTCCAGTACAAATTTTAATGAGTGATGCAAAATTCTAAACAGCAAGCCCAGACAACTGATATTACTGGCATGGCATACAGCTGAGTTCAGCTAGATATTAAGAGAGAGTATTTTTGTGAAAATGCCCAAATATTCATAAGAAATAAAATCAAATAGCAGAGAGTGTTATGTTAAATAATTTTTTTCTATTTATGCCACCAATAAAGTCCAGAAATCACAGATAAGCCCAAACACCAATAAGAGTGAACATTTTGAGACGATGAATTTTTTTCTCTTCCAACCATTTAAGACTAGTTCTGTCCTCAAAAAATACCCTTAGTTCTATTAACTCTACTGCCTGAAAACATTTGGAAAAATGATGCCATACTTTCAACCCTGAATGTTTTCTGGGTTGAAATATCAAATATGTGGTGACTGAATAATCAAGGTAAAAATCAAGTTGAATTCAGACAAGCTGATGCAGACAACAACATCTTTGAGACAGTGACAGTGATGCAAAATGCCTGTGCCAGAAGAGGGCATCATCCAAGAGTACAAATGGAATAATCATGTTCTAAACTAAAAGTTACTCAATCTGCCATGATTTCTCCTTAGGAGAGGCTCCTCCTTAATTAACAAAAATTACATGCAATTTCTCTCTTAAAACATTGTCAGAATGAACTATCTGTTCCAATAAATTTGTCAAAAGATTGCCATAAGCAAGTGATAGTGGTAAAAAGTAGTGACATTTTGAAGGCTCAGTATGGTCTGCTATTTTTAAAGGGGCATTCTTTTTACATGCTGCACTGGCATATGTTAGAGAATGCATGATTGCTACCTTGAGCTAGCATCAAATAATTAAAAAAAAAAATCCACCTTATGACATTATATTTTATAAATTAAGTAACTCCAGATTATAAAGTTTCATTTTTAATGTATTGTAAAGTTTCCTTTTTAACGCATTAGCCATTTATTCTGATGAACTCAGTACATTAAGTGTGAAGGTTTATTCTCCTTGGTTTATCAGAGCATTTATGTGCATGCACAGGCACAGAGTGTCAACCTTGTAGTTCAGCATCTTCAACAAATTTATTTCACTTGTGATTAAAACAGAAGGAAAAACATACAAAGATAATAAAGTGCTGTAATTTGTAGTCTGCAGCCAGGAACTAGATAGCAAAAGCAACATCTCTTTCTGCAATGAAAAACCTTTCTTAGACAGAGAACAACTCCTGGAAATAAAACAAGATTAACCTGTCTCTGTTCTGTCTTCATCCTTGTAGTGGACAGGAGGGAGATATCACTTGACTGTTGTCCTAAAGCAACTGAGTTAAAAGCAAAATCCCATCTATTTCATGATTGGAATCAGCTTCCACACAGAACAGAAAGGTGGACCTGGAGAACTGAATTAATTCGTCTTCAGAAGGCATCACAGGACCTTCTCTGCTTAAATTATCCCTGGAAAATGCTTGTTTAGTCTGCTTTTAAGAGCTGCAGTGACAGAGACTCTAGGATTGTACCAATCAATATATTCTACAGCACAACTATTTTTACAACTGGGATTTTTTTCCTGATGGCAGACCTAAATCTACGTTGCTGCCATTTAATTCCATTATTCTTTATCCTGTCCCCAGTTGCAAAGGAAAACAAATTATTCCCTTTCTCTTTGAAGCAATTTGGAGACACTTGGAGTTCCATCACGCTCCCCTGCTCCTTGCTTAGACTGAACAATTAAAACTTTGTCAGGCAGGATGGCTGAGCCTCCTGCCAGCTCTGCCCTCACCTCTCAAGTTTCTCCAGCAGTTTAAAGTTTGCTGCACAACTGGAATTGGTGGAATTTAGGATTAAGCTTAAACAGGGAGCTGCTGAGAAGCCAAGACCATGGGCAGCCCACACCAGGTGGGACAGAAGGATGGGTTTAGGAAGAGAGAGGATGGGTGGTTGGGTTAAACTGAGCCTGAGAAAGGAGGAAGGAAGTTGCTTATTTAAACGTTTAGAATTTTTTTTTCCCTCTAATATCCAGATTACTGCCAAGAAGCTGGTATTAACTGCCAAAAATTAAATTCACTAAAAATTCCCCAGGTCAAAGACTGTTTCACCTGTGGCACTACCCACAAAGAATCCTTTTAACTCTTCCCTCTGAGCTGCAAACAACCTCTGCAAAGTCTGAAGCTCATTTTCTGCTTTTATCCTCTGTTAGAGGCCTAAAAACACAATAGCAGTCTGGGGAACCAACCCCAAAATTATCAGTTTGTTTTCCAAATGAAAGAAATAATTGCAATAGACAACAAGAACAAAAGTGAGTGCCTTGTAAGTTTACACTGGTACTTTGTGGTGTTCAAAATACTACACATGCTTGCACACACAAGAGTGCTGTACAGATTAGGTAAGGATCATATTGATTCTCTACTTATCCAGCACTGTAAAATTTTAAGTGTTTTTCTGAAATGTTCTAAGTGAGTCATTGTTGAAGGTTATTTTTCCACTTGATTTATCTCACCATAGATTATTCCACTCTTAGGAACTGGAGTGGCACAGTCTCAGCAGCATCCATCGTTCCACAACCCAGCCTGTTACACTTCATGAGTACCACGTTCACTCTGAACTGCCCAAGAGGTCACTTGAGGTGAGAGACTAAAAACCTTACCTTGTTGTGTTTGTGAAACTGAATATGCAGAAATGAAGAAATCAGCAGGAAGTCAAGGTGTGTTCATTAATATCTGTGACAACACACAAGCTGGGTGCCCCTAAGCACTCCAGTTGTTCCAGGGTAGGGGAGGACCCAGGAGCAGCACTATGAGCACCACCTGCATCTCAGGGGAGCACGTGCAAATCAGTAGTGACACCTTGTGTGCAAGTAAGACATCAATCTGCATGATTGAGGAATTCAGGTTGAAGAAAGTCCTTCTTTCTGGTGTGCTGAAACAAAACAAATTAACAGTTTTCAGCACAGAGGAACCCACAAGGCTCATTTACTAAAAAGGGATGTGCACCACAACAGGTAAAACCCAACCACCCTATGGAGCTGTACAAAAGGCCTGTTTTGGTTTTCCCATGGTGCCCTTGCAGAAGGAATTGTGGTATATTTAAAGACACACTGCAGCAATAATGACCATGATTTGTAGCTCACTTCTCTCACTGGCTTTCTCTGACAGCAGGCAAACTCCTCATCTTCAGCACTCTTGGTTTCTCAATGTAAACCTGAGAAACATCTCCCAAGTCATCTCAGTAAATGTTCTGAATAATACCAGACAATTTTCCATCAAACAATTATTTGGGGACACACATTTCATCAATTCTAATATTATTTACCTACCTTATAGGCATGCTGCATGTACCACTCAGTTAATGTTTCAGTGATACCCTCAAAACACAAAAGCCTAGAATGATGACCAGCTAAAGTTAATAAATGATGCTATTGTTTCTTGGATTAATAGTGTCTTCATAAAGGATGCCCTCTGAAAAGTTCAAACTGCTTTTGTGCTGTATGTCAAACAGCAACAAAACCCATTATAATTAGACATTTTCCTGGATTTCAATGCTCCTTATAAACAGTGCTGAGTAGCACCTAAATTAATTTTCTTTCTTGTTTAAAAGCACTGAGAAGAATACTCAAGAGAGAAAGAAAGTGAGGGAGAAAGAGAACTGCTTGTCACATCATTTCTCAGAGCTCTGTAGTTCTGTTCTGAAAACTCCCTTCAATGGTTCAGGAGCTGTGAAGACACAGGCTGTGATCATGCAGGCTGCGAGGGGAGTGGGGGCTGAGTTAAGGAGGGAGGTGTTGCTTTTGCTACATATTTTATTTTAACATAATACACAGTTGCCAATATGAAAAAAATATGCATATACTTCTTCTGTGTCAGAATATGCCATGAAATATCAGCATGCCTCGCTACATAAAGTTGTAAGTGATGCACCACCCACAGCTTTTTTTTTGTTGTGGTTAACTTTTGTTTATGATTTAAACCAATAATCACACTAAACACTTGGAAATAAATTAAGCCTTTTCAGACTGATTAAATTGGCTGAATGCTTTAAACATGCGACTTTGGCAGATCTAATCATCCCAGGATAGTCAGGGAGTTAATCATGCAAATGTCTTCAGATATTTCAATTTGCAAGGCTGTGTTTTGTAGCCTGCAATCTTCCAAAGCATCTGTATTCTGTGCTGTGAACTGCAATTGTTCAGTGCAATTGACCAAGCAGCACAAAAACTTAATAACAAGCAAAATGCTAAGACAAAAAAGTAATACATTTTAAAAAGTTTTAATAAGAAGAATATTAAATTTGTCAGGCACTTTATACCACTACAGGAGGTACAGACCCAGTGGCTCCAGCTGGGAGGGAGTAAGGAATTTAGAAGAGCTCCATTGCTTATGCAAACCTTCAAGCTTACACATGTGCTTTGTGGAATTAGATTTTTTTACAAATGAGGAGATTGGTGGTGTTCCTAAATGGCCCTTGTTTGTTCACTCTGTTTTGGAGACTGGCACTTCCACCAGTTTTGAGACTCATTTAACTCCTCATAGGAATCATTTCTTTCCATCTTCTTTTTAGTGTGATTGAAAATTTTAAGATGAGTGACAGGAATCATGGATTCCACCTTTCAGTGAAAACCAGAAAGATTTGACCAGAATCTGAACCTTTCCTACCATATCCTCTTTCCCATCTCTGAACTGACTGAAAAAGGTTGCATCTAGAGCATATATTTTGATATTACAGCTAAACCTCTTTAAAACTCTCATGTATTAGACCATTTGCAAAAGGACAGAGTATGGTAGAAGAAACACCATAGTTTCAAAAATTAATTAACCATTTAGATTTTTTATAAATTATCTGTTCTCTACTGAAGCAGATATTTTCATTTCCATTAAAATATGTTACTCTTATTAATAAGATTTAATATATATGTCTAACTTTATGGACCACCTACTGTCTGAGTTTATTCCTTAATTAACCCACCCACACACTGTGAAAACAATTAAGGGTAATGAAAGACAGTAACTCAGTCCAGAAAATAAACTTTTGCAATAGTCTCCAAAAACCTTCGGAAAATGTTCCCTGAGTTTTAAATTCTGCCCTGTAATCAGTTGGCAAAAAGAGTTTTAGTTCAGCTTTTCAGAATGCAGCCAAGCAACCAGACCTAAAGCCAGGAAATTAGTGAAGAAGCTTAAAATCTGTCTTATGGACAAGACAAGGAAGGATCAAAAGGTAGCAGAAAGTTTGTCAACTCCTGCTTGCCACCAAAAGATGTCAGTGATATCTTGTCATTGTATAAATGGGTAACACTGATTTTGCTTGTCTAAGTAAGAACGGGAGTTATGAAGAGCATTCTACAAAATAGCAAAACATAACTGGCTTATAAGACTTTTAAGGGTTGAAAACATAAATTCCCAAAACAATAAGCAATAGAATTGATTGGATTTATAACTGAGATACTACCCAGTACTTATTTGTAAAATTTAAACTATTTAGCTTGCTGTAACTGGGAAGAAGTACAAGACAAATCTAGGTCTTGTAAATGAGAGTCCCAGAGCCAGTTTGTTTCTTCCCCTGCTTTCTCCCTACACTCAGGAAGAGCCTTCTTCAATGACATTAAGGTTATGATGGAAAAATGATTCCAATAGAAGTCTATAGAGATTTTGTTAATATGCCTTTATGATGTGATATTATGACGGCAATTCAATTTCATTGCAGGCCTAATGAGACCCTGTTACAATGTCAAAATGAAAGGAAACTATATTAATCAAGTTATAGTACCCTGAGAGAAAGAAAAACCTAAAGAAATTAACCCCATTAAAAACTGTTTTAAAACAACATTAAGATTTAGTGAATTCAGAATTGCTTTGCTTTTGTTGGTTTAGTGCTTCAGGTAGAAGCTAAATTTTGCACTGATTTACAACTCATTAAGTGTATTGACATCAGGGGAATCAGGGGAAGTTTTAAGGAAACACAAACAGAACAAAATTCACACCAAGTATTGTGATTATGCAAGGCATTGGGCACAGTCTGCTTAGTCTTACAGCTAAAATATTTTTTCCTCTTCAGTGGAACCAGAATTTCTTCACTTCTCGCTTAAAAAAGGCGACAAGCTGACCAGTCTAAGAGTTTAAGTTCTTGTATCTCAGCTCTTTGATACCATATTTGAATTTGTACTAAACTAAACTGTAGAATTAAATCCCTAAAATTGCAAAAGAGAAACAAATTGGAGTGAAAAATTCCTCCTGAACTTATTAGAAGCAAATATTCAACTGCCAACAATAAAGTAAGAGTGGACACATACCCTGAAGACAAGAGGGGTCTTGGGTACATGTCAGGTTGTTAAAATTGAGTGTAACGGGACAAGCCACAACTGGAAAACAGCCTTTGTATCAACACCTTTGGGATGACCTGCAAGGGAAGTTAAGTCACAGTTATGAAAACTCATAAGTCTATTTTAAAATATTAAAATGCTTATATTAAAAAAAAAGTTTTAAAAGTCAAAAACCTCAGAATTTTTTTTTTTTTTAAATTTAACTTTTTGGCAACAGAGACCTTCTTCTGTGCATTCATTGAATTTTATGTCAATGATTTTTGTCCTTCCCAAGCTAATGTTTCTTACTGAGTGCAGAAGTCAGGGCTGCAATATTAATGTGAATTTGATAAAGGCTAGCACATGTATTCAATTTTAAATGCGCCACTGTCATTTTCCAAACCATGTGTAATATAAATATAAAGTGCTGTATATATTCAGTATATATATAATATATGTGCAATATAAAGTTTTGGTCTCTTTAAAAACTGCCACCCACCTGAACAGTGGTGCAGCAGACAGGGCAACACTCTTTTTATACAATAGGTACATTCCAATTTTCAGCAAATACTTACAAGAATAGATTCAGCAAGACATTAACACCAAACAGTTTGGACATGCACCAAAATATTTCAAAAAGTAAAAGACCCTTCTTTATCTTTCAGCAAACTCAGACATTTACATGGCACTATGAAGATTTGCAAACTCACAAGAAATCCATTGATTTTTGCTTCTATTACTGTTGAACATACAGAGATGGCACTTTGTCATCAGAGTATTAGGAAAGGAAAGTATGAACCACTCCTAAACTCAAAATCCAGTTTCTATTTCTGCTTGTCCTTGGTGGACATGCATAAACACACACATCACACGTACACAGGGTTCTTTGTGCAGACTTGATATTTACTCACATATCTCATTTACAGAGACAACTCATTTACATAGGATGGAAATTTACTGTACTTTTTGTCCATACAGTAAGTTTCTGTTGCTATTACTATCCGTAGTAGAAATAACCTTCAGTTACACCAGCATAATATAAATTGCATGTTATTGTTAAATTTTCCCAAACCTATTTTTGTTGGTGTTATCTGGAGTCTCACAATGCCTTAAGAATGGATTCACTGGAACCTTATCTACCTTGCAAACCAACATTCACTGTAGTATTAAGTTCTACTGCAAAAATATCAGGACCACTTCTGTAAACACTGCGATGACAGTAGTAATGAGAAATGCAACAATGAAATTGTAAATAAGATTATAAAGTAAAAGAAAAACCCTGATATTACTTTCAGGCCTTAGAAAACTTGACCTTTAATCAGCAAGGTGGTTTGCACAAATACACCCAGCTCAGGCTGAACGTTCAGGGGAGAATGTACAAACCAACAAAACAGCAAAAGAATCTACTGGGGGAAACATTTAGCAGGATTGTTCTGCTGACCAAACTCTTCATCACTCCCTATTCATTATGTAGGAGAAAATATTTTTCCAAGGGTGTGCACTTTATTTTATCCATGAATTCCTCTGTGCTGAACTTCTCAAGAGTGTAAAAGGCAATCCATTAGAGAAAACTTTGTTCTTGTGACCTTGTCCATGATTACTTTAACTACATAACGACCGACTGGAACATTATAGAGGTATGAAGATATTTACATATCCATAGGAGAGTTAACTTACTTACATAAACATACTTTTATTTTATTGCAGTCTAAATATTCACCATAAGGATTGCATCAATGTAACTGTTTAAACAGTAAAAATCATTACTCTGATCAAAACACTTACCAGGAAACTTATTCACACTCAAGGTCCGCTATAAACCACATTTCTTGCTGGCATCTTCCTTTAAATATTTGATGGGTTTGCTTTGTGGTCAGCACATTCAAATGCTTATAATCTGTCTGTAGGATAATGTATATAAATTACTAAAACTCTTTTCCTGTGTTGGTGTAATCTGCTTTGCAGCTGTAAAACAAAACCATAAAGTTTTAAAACTTGGTATGGCCATACAGGTCTAAGTCACAGAAGTGAAAGGCATCTTCACCTAATACAGATTTCCTTGCTTTTCTCTCTGTATTTAAGTCCAGGAATTCAATTTAATTTTTATTATTCCTATTCCTCCTCTGCCTAGTCCTTTATTTAAAGAATTCCTCCATTTTCTAATGAAGCTCATTCATTTTCCACAGAGCATATTCATTTCCTCAGCTACATCTTCAAATGCTGCACCTCCACCTTTCTGTCTGGAAAACTTTCAAAGCACCAACTTCCTAACTGGGTGTTTACATTTTGATTCCAGAACCTCTTCTACTTTTCCTTGTGCCACTGGCACAACAAATATAAACACAGGTTGCTCACTTGCATATCTGTTCCAACAAGAATAGCCCAGAAATGTCTGCATGAGCTTCAGCAAGACATTTCTTTGATAACTAACCTGCCAAATAATTTCACTGCTTAACAGTGCGAATGCTGAGCTGTTTTTATTATTAGAGTAATTTTAATGATTGGCATGCATTGTGTGTTTATATGTTTGTCAAATATTGGGAAATCAATTAGAACAATATAATGCCACTGGGAAAAACATAATTTGCAAAATAATTATAAGCAATTGGCACCAGATGTTCTATTTCTTCAAAATTTGCATTTTCAGTTTTATAATATTTATACTTTTCTTTTGGCAAAATGCTTAAGTAATCATACCTCAAAAGGCTGGATTTTTTCCTTTTTCTGAGTTTGGTTTTGTGACAACGGAATTCAAAGGCAAAGCTCAGGTCATATGCCCTGAGTGGTTACACTTAGTGGTTTCATCCCCTACCCCAGAAATACAATATCTTTTTTTTTTATTATACTTAGTCTTATCTAATAATCTTCTAAAGCAGAGATGAACAGCATATTTTAACAATACTGTTCTGCTAAATCTGAAGCCAAATGGAAACAAGGAATTGATAAGAAGCTTCTCCTTCATATGAGAAAACCTGACTATTGCTGTCATGGATGTTGGCTTTTTCTTGTTCATCCAGTTTCACCTAAAGAACTAAAGTTATTTCATCTAAAGAACTAAAGATTTTAAACTAAAATGGAAAATTTTGATAGTCCTAAACCAAAAGTCATCTAAGCAAAGGTTTATTTTGACTTGTTTGCAGATGTGCATGAGGGAGCTTGTTTCAACAGCTTTCTTTAGAAAAGAAGAGGTTTCTGAGGTCACAAAATATTGAGAGAACATTAGAATCCCGCAGTATGAGCTCTTTAATAAGAGAGTTTAATACTGTTTAATTCTTTGTGTGAGAAAGATGGATCATTTACAGAAATAGGAATAGTATTTTGTTTAAATTCAAGTGTTTAGATTCATGTTTATTCAGAAAGCCTTAGTAGACTGCGTAGTCCAATTTCTTCAGGGGTTTGTGTTTTTTTCCAAGATTACATTCGCTCTATTTTATTATTTATTTTAGGCATTGAGTGAGCAATAAACTTAGCTGCAGGCAAAGAAACACAACACAGCATGAGTTGGCAAGGCCTTGACAAACACCATATCCACGGTTCTGCCACCACAGTTAAAAAAAACTGGTCAATAAAAATGCTCTGCCATGAAATCTCAGAGGTCAGACATAATCTTTGTTCATCTCCAGACTTTTATCTCCCTCTAGAAAATAAAATTTCTTAGCATTTTACTTGTTCTTTAACAAGATTCCCTAAACGTTCTTGGTTTACTGTCTCAGGTAATATTACATTATTTAGACTGAGTCAATGCAGTAGTTTCTGAGATTGGAGCCTTGTACAAATTTTATTGACACCATCAAGTCACTGGGCTGATGGCACCTTCAGACATCAGTTGTTAATGACTCTGAATTCCTTGACAACAAGTGAATAGGAAAATAAAGCTACACTTGGATAATCAGAAGAGAGTGTAGAATACTTGAAACACACAGAGTTTATTACTTTGTCTACTGGCTTTGTAATGTTGGGTCGTAAAAAAAGCGAAAATATTTAAAACAGATTTAAAGCTTTTATTCACTCTGAATCCATTCCTCTGCTTAAACAGCAAAAGACTTTCATAAAAAGAGATTATTTTTTTATCAAGATTATCACTAATGCAATGCATCTTTAATTTTGAGGGCGGAAGAAAAAACAAGCACCATTATTTATCATATTCAAAATATTAATTAATATTTTACTTGATTGAAGTAATAAAGAAATAGTGGTACTACTTTCACTTTTTGCTAACATCAAGCTTACAAGTTTACCAAAAAAGTTTTATAAACTCCCTGGTAAGGTTTTATTGTACATGTTGTTGTCACATCAGAGCAGGTGTGAGAACAATGAAAACGAAGCATATGATAGAAAAAAAATACAAAAATAAAATGGGTTAAGTGCTTACCACACCTGTTCAAGATGGGTCTTCTCCTTTGGGATGTCAATGAAATGACTTTTCAATGGCTTTCTGGTTCCAATACATCTTTTACAGTTCACTTAGAAGAACTGAAAGAATTTTTTCTTTCATCAGTTCTGTGGTCTGCCTTTGCATCCTTTCCATGTTCTGTGTGATCCTGGCTGAGCTAAAAGCTCTCTTCTTGTTATATTTTCTTTGCAGACACTATTCCTGTCCCTCCCTTTTCTCCCACTAGTATTCCTTATTGAAAACATCATTTCTCTCTCCCACCCCTGGGTTCCTCAGATCCACTGTGCTGCAGCCAGAATAATGCAAACAGCAAAACTTTCTCTGTGCTGCTGAGATTTATTGATTCTTTTTTTGAAGTCTAGGTGTCTATTAGCACATTGACACCTACCAACCACTAATAAGCAACACTGTGACATTCAAAAGCTAGTTTTCGTCAAAATATTATTTAATGCAAGAAAGTCTCCAAGAGAGAGATTTGGAAGTCAGAAATCAGTGTCCTCTTGATGGCAGGATTCAGCAGAGACTCCATTAGAGGTTGTCTTGTGATAGTGTCTTCCATTTCACAAGAAAGAAGGGAGAGGAATCCAGAAAGCTGTCCTATGGTGAAGGGAAATAAAGAGTCACAACAGGACACCACATTTTGAGGTGGTTTTTTTTTTGTTTTTCTTTTTTTACTAATGGCAACATGCCAAGGACTAGAATTAAATTCTTTCCCAGTTCACTCTTTCGTCACCTACCACCATATAAATCAAGTCTACATGAGATTAAGTAAGTACATTCAGCTTGGGCTCAGGTGTGAGTGCAGATGGGCTTTGAAACATTCCACAAATCCAACCACAGCTATATTGGCTTAAAGAATGACTGGGGAGAGGAATTGCTGAAAGACTACATTTACTGATCATCTTCAGTTCCTTTAGCACAGTCCGTATCATCTCCCTCCAATCTTCAGTTTGCATCAAACTAATCAAGATGCAATAGAAAGAAAAATAAGCATTTGAGACCTTCCTTTGAAACCTGCAGGCCCAGCTGAGACACAGAAATGTCTACACTCACTAAGCAAACTATTATTCATAACATCTGCCTATCCAGTGCAATGTGAGTTCCTGTCACTCATCATTGACATGTCTAGGATTGATTTCCTAACACTACATTATTATCTTTCATGAGAATATGCTAATTCCTTCTGTATCACTATGTATGCTGATATACAGTATCCTTTGACATTCACAACATGTTCTAGTGTGATAGATTAATTCAAGATAAAAAAAAAAAAAGAATGTGCAAAGGCACTGGTAAAGGCACCATATATCTGGCAAAAACTGATTAAAAGTAGGAATTATTCTCCCAATAAAATTATTTTCCCAATATGACAACAGAATTTTTACCATTGGTGCCAAGATTCCACCTGATAACCAAATTTGGGGTTATTAATTAATAGTAAGGTACAATATTAGCTGTGTTATTCTGTAAAATATTCAAGTAAAATTTTTAAAGGTTTTCTATTTCCCTTTAGTTTCTAAAGAATTTGTTGACTTATTAGCAAAATAAGTTCTCTCCAATTCAGTTATTAAGTGTGTATTACCAGATCACACAGATATTTCTGCCACTATTTTCAAGTAGTGAGTGACCATAATCTTATGTACTTGACACATATAATTCTAACATATTATTTCATGCTAAGAATGACTAGATGGGACTCTCACAGTCTCATCTTAGTATATTTTCTACAATAACTTACCTCTTTTTAATATTTTACTTCTCTGCCCTTCACTGATGTCCTCAATGATTTCCTCCACCAAGTGTTTTACCGCTTCACCCTGCTCTAATTAATTCTCAACTTTAAATTCTCCACTGACCCCCATTTAACTCTCAGTAGATACAAAAGCTTTGAAAGAAAAATCCTCAGTGAGCAAGTGCTGGCCAGGCAGCTTTTCTTCAAGCTTTTGCAGCTTTAAATCTGATCACGGGAAATACTGAACCAAATCCTGCCCTGAACAGCACAACACCCTGTTGTATTGCAATGGCAATGCCATTTCCCAAGTGCTGTTGGACTCCAACAAAATCACAAAATTAGAGTCTGAGTGAGGAGATGCACCTGCAGGTTCACTTTCAGTAAGACTTTGCAAGTAGCTCATCATCTGATGCACTGGGAGCACCAAGAGACTCCTGCAAATTCAGTTCTTTTTTCCCCTCACTTGCCAAAAGAATCCTCCTCCTCCAGCATATGTGTAAGCAGAGAACACAGAATGAAAAGTATTTCATTCCAAAACTTCACTGAATGGATTTCTAGTTTTATTTAGTCATCTTTAAGAAAAAGAAACATAAAATCCCTCAGTTTAAGAGGAAGTTGAGAACAGCTGAGATGATCCAGCATGGTAAAAATTATACCATAGACAAGAAAAAGACATCATTCTTTTTCACATTAAGATTTAGCTGAAAAAAACCCAACTTTAACTTCAACATTATAAAGTAATTTTTACTTACTATTTTTTTAACCATTGTATTCAGTGCAAACAGATGAACTGTAAAAAGCTTGAATAGGGAGAACCAGTGCATTTATTTGCATTAATCTCTCAGCAGAGCCAGCTCCAACCTGCTGGACTGCTCACAGCTATGGTCTTCTGTGTGCTGAATTTCAGCCTAAAATACACTTGAACACCAAATGCAAGAGTGTAAGTGAACAGAAGCAAATTCACAGACCACAGGTAATATCAGCAACTTTAGAACTCTTTTGGAGCTAAATCAAAATCCCAGTAAAACTCAAGGATAGAAGTTTTTGGCTTCAGTTCTGTGTACCTTCAACGACCCTCAGTTCCATGTACACTGAGCTGGGACTCAATACAATAACAGCAAGCCATTAATGATTGAAAATATTTGTACTGTATAAAGGATCCAATCTACATGATTTTCACCACATTTTGCTTTCACTGAGTGTACAGCACTTGATATCCTTATTACAGTTGCAATATTATTACAATGATTTCTTTTTATTATGACTTAACCATCCTTTATAAATTTTAACACAAACATGTGCTTAGGTTTTTCTTTAATGTTAATTTACCATATGCCCACAAGAGACCGCTTTTCAGAATATCTTTCCTATCTTTTCTACTACATTATAAATTACACACATTTACGATAATTCTGCTTGATTTACAATCTCTCTCATTCCTGAATTTAATCTGTTGTACAAAAACAGGCAATTGAAATTGGATATACCTTTTGAATGGTATTTTAATGACCTTGAAATCAGTCAAAAGAAAAACCAAACAAACCAACACCAAACCAAACAAAATGAACCAGCTATTAAGTCTATATAACTTAACCTATATCCGAAGCAAGAGTTCAGCCCATGCCTAAGGGAAAGACAGAAATGTTTTGCTCCCAATTTGGTTCTGGGCACTGTCATATCTCGTATAATATCCGACTCTTTCAGAAATGACATTTTCATGTCATAAAATCTAATTGATAGGCACTTTCAAGTGCTATTTTTAGAGATAACATCCAAGATTAATGAATGCAATACACTAAGAAGTTTATATGAAGTTAAATCAAGCTGTCTTGTCTCTGTTGAAGTCATTCTTTTCTTGACAATAATACACAATAAGAGCAACATTCCTCAAATGAGAGTTTATAACCCTGATCTTTGCCTGAACTGTGTTTCACTTGAAACAATATTTACCATTTTTTAAACCCAAAGGTTTCTCCTGTGACAGGTAATGTGTGTTTTGTCTGGTTATCCTGAACCACCCAATCTGTGGATTATGCACCATTGCGCTGTTGATACAACAACATCAGATCAGTCACATTTGCTGTGACTTTAGAGTCAGTCTTTCCATCCTTTTGGAGGAGAACACCAGGATGAATAAAGAAAAAAAATATTCCAGGCTCATTTCAGTCTTTCACCTCTCACAGGTTTATTTTCACATTTTCTGTGAGATTTCACCTTTTCTCACATTTCACTGGGAACTCTTCTTACGCAATTTTTTTTTTTACTTTTTATCCTCAAATGACTTAAAAACCCCTGAATACAAGTAGTCTTTTACTACAAGCCCCATCTCTGAAATAAAAATCCAAAAGCGAAACAGCTCTGCCTCATTTACCCCCACATGGTTCAGGTAATTCATGGGCTTCCTTCCTCATGAAAACTAAGCTCAAGGGTCTCTCGTGCTTTTTTTTTTACCCCTTTATCTTACAAGTCTTGCTGATTGCATGTGTAAGGAATGTTAGTGGTTTTGTTCACCATCCTGTAAAGTTTCCTTACCCAGATTGTAAAATATTTAGCAAACACTTTTAAGATTTAGATGTGTCAGATTTTAAGGAAAAGCATCTGTGATATTTTGAAAAATTAAATGAATAACCAACAATAGAATTCCCATGAAGTGTGTTCTACTCCACTATGGCTTAACAAGCTATCCCTCTTATTGCCTTAAACTTCCATGAAAGAATTACACATATAAGCAGATAAACTTTTCAACTAACTTAATTTGACTGAATTTAAGCACACTGACTTATTGTTTAGTAAAGAATCAACATAATTATCCTATGGAGTCGGGAAATAATGAACAAACTGATCCTTGTGGAATTTTAGTTGCCCTAAATATTTCTAAGACATTTCAAGTCCGTTAATATTCATAACAGCTTTGAAAGTGACCCTTGCATTCTGAAAGCACTGATCATCTCAGGAAGGTAAACAAAATGCAGGCTTTTTTTTCTTTTTTGGGTCTAATATTGGGAATCTTCTCATCCATGATCATCACACAAAATAGGCATCCTAATTGTTTCCATTAACTGATTCAGTGAGAAAAAAAGCAGACATTTATTTGCTCAATAGGCATGACAATTTTAAGGGTTAAAACATCTTTTTGGACGAGCCACAAATCATATTCTTTCACTTCCTTCATTGCCAAGTTTATTTTTTATAAAATATATAGATATGGGTATATCTACATCATCTTTTCTCCATTTCAGCTACCCAAAAATAATTGTTGAAACAAAAAGCAGGCTTTCACTTCACTTGAAAATGCACACAGAACTAGAAGGGGCATCCCAAAGGCTCAGCTGGAGTTCTGAAAAGCAATTTCCATATGGAAATTCAAGATAATGATGGTAGTGAAGTTCAAAATCCAAGTCTGTATTCTCACAGACTTTGTCAGAAACAGGACTGGAGGAGAAAAGGACTATTGAAATGTGACACACAAAACTGTTCTTACAAGTACTAATCACACATCCATAACAGGATACATGACAAATGATTCAGTAGAATGTCAGGAAAAATATACATCACAGTGAACTTTTTATTGACCTAAAATATGGTATTTTCCAACAGAAAATAGTATGAACAGTAATTTTAAGTCAAATTGACTTAGAAACTTCAAAACCAAGTATTTAAGGATCATATTAAATAGCCTCATGAGCTCTCATACACCTTCATCCCTTTTCTACTCAGCAAATACACTAAGAGAAAATGCTCATAAAAACAAACAAAAAAATGAAACAAACAAAAACTCAACCCCCCCAACAATCAAACAAAAAACCCCAACAACCAAAAAAAACCCTACCCACCACATTAAATCTGTGGATTATACTGGTTAAAAAAAAGACATAAGGATAAAAGTGACAAAAGTAGCCCGAGGTCTGGCAGCTGACAACAACAACCTGTAGAGGAGTCAGTTGGGAAGCTCTCCAAAATCGTTCTGGGACAGTACACTGATTTAAAAATGGCAACTCACCCTAATTTTATCCAGTATTTGGAAATATTTATTGCACAAAAAACCCCCAAAAAAAACCAAAACAAAAAAAAAACCAAAACAAAACCTCCAACATTTTGCTCAAATTAACATAAAGCATTTAGAACAGTGAAGATACTGTTCATGCATGTGATCTTGCTATCAGATATACAATTTTTCTCATGAAATGGGCTTTACCTTCCTAATGACTCATCAGGTGCTCTGCAGTTCTCGCTTATCTGAAATTCCACCCTTGGGACTGGCTGTGAAAACATCTAATAGATTCTAATAAAGTCAACCTTTTTGTGCTACTGCTCTTGCTTTCAAAAGGTCAGTGCCTTTGCAGCAGGCTTGTTATGTCATTAATTTGTTAGCATTGCTATTCATAAATAACCCAACCTCTCTCACACAGCTGCATCGACCCCCACAAACAAAACAATAAACAGATGGCAGTGCAGTGGCTAAAGGTGCTGCTTCAGCTGTTGGATGTGCAGCTCTCTCCATTCCACATCCCCAGCTTCAGATGTACCGTAAAATTAAAAGGGGTTATTTCTGATTTGAAAAATATCATGACTGTAACTTCCTACAGTCTAGAAAGTTGAAGTGCAGTGCACACCTACTCCCTGCACAATTCCTTTGGTTGATAACCCCTGAAGAGGCAAGAAGAGGTAGTTTGCACTGACATTCTGCAAGATTTATCTTATCTCTTTTTAATACCATGTTACTATCCTTGTAAGAGAAAAGCCCCCAAGCACTGAGAGAAAATATGGAGAATACAACTCCTATGCACTACTTGGCACAACAGCCAAAATAAAGGAAAACAAACCCTTATAGCTTTTATTTCATCTCTTAAAATAACATATAAGGATGTTACCTTCTCTTCCTTGCTAATTCTCATGTCCATGGCAAAGCAATCAATTCAAATATGATTCAGATAAATAGACTAGAGAAGCTGTACTCTGTCTCTCTTTTCCCCTTCCCTTCCCAGACCTTCCCAAACCTTCCCTTCCACCCTGTAAGCAGAATAACTAACCATGTGTTAACCACCTTCCATTACATTCCAAGCTGTTATAAATGTGATAAATGATTATGAACTCTAGAAAGACAGAGCTGAGCACAGCTGACATGGAACACGAACTGGTAGCCCTTCTGTATGTAAAAGAATCCAGAGGGAACTTAGTGCCTTAGGAATAAAGTTCTGAAACAAGTGGGAGTTCTCTTAGGGTTCTCTAAGGAGCTCACCTTACATCTTTACAACACACACTTCTAAGTGAATGGCCATAAAACTCAAGATGCACTCAAGATCCAAAGTCTTCAGAGCCTTGCTATCTTGTCCTCTGTATTCTTGTCCTTATTATTTTTACTATTGGTTTTCTGAAAGAAGTAAAGATGCAAGTAGGGGTGGGAGGAGTCATTGCAATAAGAGCACATTAGTTCGGATTACAAAGCTCACCCATGATGATGTAAGAGAAAACTCCATTCCAGCCAGATTTCTTTGTGCTAACACAAAGCCCCTCAGATGAAGAGACTTAAACATACACAATTAAGGAAGAATACAATGCTATTATCCTAATTTAAAGTGAGGATTTCAATAAAAAGGGAAAACAAAGGGGATAAAAACAGCTCTCCATCTTTATTTTCACCTACTCTATGGTAAAAAGGGTGAGAGTTTCTTTTATTGCAGCTAGACGACTTTGATAAAAGTGTTGAATTTTCTCATTCTCCTCCTCTAAGTGAAATGTCCATTCTACTGCTGCAAATAACTCATTTTTCTCAGGTCTCCCCTTTTAAAAATTCTTCTGCACTATGAGTTCCTAACAGCTACAGACACAAATGAACATACAGAACTTGGATATCAATAACCAAATCTTCACTGTGTTCTATGTCAACCTACTATTGACAGCTTTTAGTTATGCATTACTTTACATAAAGGGAATCTACAAAAAGGAGAACAGAGATAAGAAACACAAACCAGAAATGCAGCATTGGAGAATGTGAATTACTGATCTTTGTTCTCCTAGGAGCCACTTCATTGGCTTACTATTTTGTATTCAACAGCTTAGCCATTAACCCCCTGAAAATACTGTGTAATAAGGAATTAGCTTTGTGTTTGCCACCAATTACTGCAAGCTGGGAGCAGAAGCCTGTCAGCAAAATCTGTGGGTTTTTTTGAAAGGACAAAGCAAAATTCCAGTGATCTTCTGCCTCCCTGAGATTAGCTGAATGAATTCAGGTATTTAAGACCTTTTACCAAGGATGCCTTAAAAAAAAAAAAAAAAAACACAAACAACAAAAAACACAAAACCCAAGAAAAATCCCAACAACTTGGCTTATGCAGGATGTACAGCATTTTGTCTGCACAACTGAAGTCAGGTTTACCTCAGGTTTCTGGGGGGACATTTTGGGGATACCTACTGGTGCCTGCACCATGCAAACACATCAATATTGGGCAAGCTTGCCACAAGCAGACAATTAAAAACATAGCAAACTTGCAGGATCAGCTTACTGTCATCTTCCCATTTTAGAGGGATCTGGGTTTATGCCTGGTCAGCGCTTTGCTAATTAACTGTATTCTGACTATTCTGCAGAAATGATATTTTAGCTTGTAACGTATCAGATGAATATTATATCAAATAAACTTACACTGCAAAATTGTGAAGTCACTGTCAGTCTGCTGTGTCTTACCCTGAGAAAGCTTAGAAGGGGCCCAAGTTTTGATTATATCAATATTATGCACTTTCCAACTATGAAACATTTGTACTTGTACTGGAGTTCAGTGTTTCAGTATTTGAAGACACAGTGTCTCAGAAAAAGAGTATTAAAATACAGGTGCCTATTAAGATACCTTTAATAAATATCTAAGGACTAAGATGTGTTAATTCAACTCTCTCCAGATTGCTCTAAAAAACCTTCCTTTACTTGAAAAGGAAGTTGCCTTGTGCTTGTAACTCCATGGAATTCCACATTCAATGGACCGGGGCTTGAAGCAGCTCCTTCAGGACAGTTCTTACTAAAACCTGATAGTTTTTGCTTCTTCCTCTAGTTTATTGACTCAGAACAGAGGTAGTAGATGAGGTATGGCTATTTTTCTCCTTTTTCCTATACAGTTTCTTGACATACTGTAGTCTGATTGTAAAATAATTCTTTGCCAAGCTGAGAGTGCTTCTGGACTTGTCTATTAGGGTTTTGTGCTAAACACTTAGAATATAAAATATGAAAAGAAAATTTTCCTTGTTTTAAAAACAGCCAAAACAATATTTGTGGTAAGGTTGTGCATTCACTGAAAGCAAAAACAAAACCCTGATACAACACAGGGAATGGAAGCTGGAAGGTAAATTGTGCTTGCTGTGTTTTTCTGAATTGAATCCTGCCTGTATGATCAGCAGCATTCAGACTCCCAGCAGGGTAGTTTCCAAAAGAGAGAGAAAACTAGGCAGGTGGCTTTAAAGAAAGCACAGAGAAATGTACTGAAAAAAAAATCTGGTTGAGAAGTGAAATTGGTTAAATTGCCTACAGCGTGTTTGGGGAGGAAAAGGGTCTACACTGAGTTCCCTGCTTCGAAGGGTGGAGAGAAAGCATTGCAGAGCATGAAAAGGAAAAACCTGCATGGAGGACTGGTTCATTATGGGACAATTTCTTTACAGATAATCTGTTTTGGAAATGGACAGAATGAGGGAGATGCTAAGGAAACCACTGGGACAGGGTGAAGGGATCTATTGGAAGGAATCAGTCAGCAAAAGATTTAGCGGTGACTACAAGAACAAGTTGCAGGGGACAGAAAGTATCATGGGGACAGAAGCATCACCTGGGCCTGAAAGCAAGGATTAGGAAATAGTCCCCTGCCTTCACTAGGTTGACAGAGCTGTAAGATGCTTCCATCAGAGAGTTTACCCACAAGACAGGAGTCATTTCTCCTTCATCATTACTGGTCAGCAGGAGCTTCAAAATATTCAAGATTGGAATTATTATAAATTTTTAAAAGTCAGGTCATAATTTGGAGGTAGGAAGAGTGAGGAAAGCTCAGAGATAGCTGCAGAAGTAAAACAAACAGCTATCCTTTACAATTACTCAAAAAAAAAAAAAGGATTGTATTCTGAAATGATTTGTGCATTAAACTCAGCATACACTCAGAGACTTATTGTTAGTCCAAGCTTTAATGCTAATGTGAGAGCGTTTTTTTCTATCAGATGGAACCAAGGAGCCCAGATTTCTTAAGCAGCTCAGAAGACCTCAGTTCAACCACTTTTTGAACAGGTAAACTATTTCTTCCTCAGTTGCATACTATGGCCTTCCTTTCACAGAACCATGGATTGTTCCCCTCCAATATCAGGACAATTTTTCAAACAGTAGAATTTTAAAACTCTGTCTTCTGGGCACCATAAAAATGTCAATCTTGGTGTAAGGCATAAACTGGCCAATTTGTCTCTAGGCAATTCAGCAGTATGGAAAGAGAACAAACCCAGTATGTGAGACAAAATACAGCTGAGAACAGGCCACCAGGAACTCCCCAGATTTTCTTTCTCTTCTTGAAGATTTCATTACAGATCATGTACTACAGATAATGCTCAAACATGTATTGGAAATCATAAACTGATTTAATCTATGACACTCACCAAGGGTTGATTTCTTCAGAATGGAGACATGACTGTAGAGACAAGAAAAGCTTCAGGTTAGAGCTGCAGTTCAGGTGTCACCAGGAGTATTCAGTTTAATTTTAAAAAAAACCCTTCCTTGTGTAGTTCACAGACACACCTTTCCCTATTAGCCTGACTTCTGCACTTGTTCTGAACACTGCAGAACTAACTAAAATTCCACTGTGTATTTGGACAACTCTTAAAATGGAGGGAAAATGTTATTTTTCCAGGATTGGACACTACTCAGTGAATGTCATCAAACACTAAAGGTGGCCTTTAAAGAATTATTTTTTTTTCAATGTTACCACAATACTGAGAGCTACTTCTAACCTGTTTTTATGCCTCTCTGTTTTGATGAAGAAAAGCAAGAACAAAACCTGAAGAATGAATCACAACTAGATTTGAATGCAAAGTTGTCACCTTTCACATAAAACATGCTTACTTTTAAAATCAGTTTCTTTGAGACAAGATAATAGGTTTCTAATGACCTAATTAATTTTACACTAAATGTATTTTGCAAATGTACAAAGTTAGACAGCAAATTGCTGTCTGTACTTTGGTAAGAAATGGTTGTCTCCAAACAACTCTCTAAACCCAATGTACAGTAATTCATGCAGATAGTTTATTCTAATTACAGCTGAATATAATGGTTCAGCTGAGATGTCAAATTTCAGTGCAAATAGCACTTTGCTAGACAGTAAATAAAAGAAAATGAAAACAAATTACCAATCCAAGTTATTTTAGCTGAAACCTTGTTTTTTTCTAAGCACATAAAGCTACAGAAAGTTATAATGTAACCAGCAGCAGCATCTGGTTCTGATTCAGAAAATTAAAAGTATTTTTCTAAGTAAAACTAACAGATATATGTTTATATTTTTAATTGAATATTAAGTGGGGGTGGTTTTTTTTGTTTGTTTGGATTTTTTTAGTTTTTTTGGGGGGGGGTTGGTTTTTTTGTTTTGGTTTGGTTTTTGTTTGGTTTTTTTGTTTGTTTGGTTGGTTGGTTTTTTAAATTTATTTATTTTTAAGTCTTGGTAAACTTCTAGATAACCAGAAAAACATTTTGGAAAACACTTAAGTGTAAAGTGTATGTATATAACAAAAATGTCATGCACACTAACAAAGGCAAAAATAAGAGTTTACATGTTAAAAGCTTTTGTGAAAATAAACATATTTCATACAGGAATAGGTTCATGTATAAGGAAAAGCAAAGAGCCGAATTGATTTTTCTTTGTGTACTTTTAGGGAGGCTCAACATTCAACATCTATATTTGAGATTTTTAAAGTTTTATAGGATTCAAAATACAAAGACTTTGAAATCAACATTTAAATTTAGAGACAATCTGAAGTGTTATAAGTATTTGATTTTATGTAACTTTACCTACTTCCTACTCTGAACCTGGAAAAATTTAAGGTATAATTGCACTATACCAGCCATAAACTCCAAATTCAGCCTCCTAACCAAACCTGAAAGCTCAGGAATGCAATTTGTCGGGATTGTCCATTTGATAGCACAGATAAGAGACAGGTTTAAGAGGTCTGACAACCGTAAACCAACAGTTTTGTCCAAACTGTGTGCAATAGCAAAAGCACAGTTTTCTGGATTCAATCCATGGGGTTGAGAAATGCAAGAAGCAGAATGGCATGTTCTTGTCCTGCTTGGATCCAGGGAGAGACTTCCTGCAAGCACAGCTATGTGGGACAGGAGGGATCCTTCAACAAAGGAACCTGGATATCTGAAGGTGAAAACTCTTAAATGATGTCAATAGGCAAATAAAGGGAGAATAAAACCCAATGATATGATAACAAATAAAAAATATAATTAAACAAAACCAAAAATATAATTAAACAAAACCAGAAAATGCAGGTGTAAGAATTAATATCCAAGTAGGTTGTTTCTGCAGAAAGAAGTATAGTAACAGCACCACCATATGTATTTTAAACATTTTTTAAAAAGACTCCAAATTTACTTAGCAGCACAAAAGTACAAATTTTCTACATTCTCTTTTTTCATACTGGCATACTACAAAAAGATTATTCATTATAAAAAGGGCAGAAAAATTCTTTAGGATAATATGAATGAGGCATAGAGTTAATCCACTAAGATTTCATTAAGAAGTGAGCCGATGTTCAGCCAACTAATTACCCATTCATTAAAACAGAACCATAAATGACATTTCCAACATATTACAAAACCCCTCTGTAGTAATATTTTCCCATCTACATCTATTCTGGCATTTATATTCTATGTCTCTTTCATAATTATTTCAAATAATTCCTCTGACATATTGAGGGGGAAATAGCTTAAAAAGAGATTACTTACCACCTACTAGTTGCTCACAAAGAAAGGAGCAGGACAAAGTAATTATATTGGTGTATTAATATAGAATTGGTGTGCTAGTAGTCCCTAATAATCACTACAGTGGTTTCATTTTTCCATGGTGAAAATTTTAAGGTGCTTAAAATTATTTGCCCACACTTATAACTCAGGTTTCATCCTCCCAAAAGGTGAGCACACATAAAACTAACTCATGTGATTCACAGAAAGAAATACAGCAACCAAAAGTTGGCATTAAAAACAAATAATTAAATCCAAAGCTGGATTTTTCATGTCCCACTTAGTTCTGCTTCTGCAAGAGCTGCTGCTGTATACAATAGAAACAAAATGTGAAGAGGGTTGCACAGTCAACTCAGACTAAGAATAAGCATGGTTTCAACCAACACAGAACTTGATACTCAGTACAAATTGTTATTTGTTGCATGTTCACTCAGGGATCCCCTGCACCTCTTTCACTGATAATTAATGAAGTCACAAAAGCTCAAGTTTGCAGGAGATAGTACAACCTCTGGGCTATTTAGACCAATAAAAATCTGCAATTTGCTACAAGTGGCTTCTTCCAGCACCTTTCATATCAGGATTTTTATATAAAGATTATTTCTTTCTTATAACAGCACCACATTATTAATTTCCTCTTATAAAGGATAAAATAAAATTTCTCCTTCACACATTGTTTCATGCTTTGGCTTCCAAACTATTCTCTTCCATCTTTGCATTCTTTTTCTCATAGTTCCTGACCCTACTCCTCTCCCATTACACATTATTCTGACCTAACTTCTTCTAATGATATTGATATTGAAAATCCAACAAACTTTTTGCTGAACCCAGATTTAGTTCCTATCAAGAAAACCTCATCAAAAAAACCCAGCCTCAAGAAAACCAAGTCAAAGCCAGCTCTGCATTACATCACATATCTGGTGAGATAACAACATCTGAAAGACAAAATAGATAAAATATCCTCAATGGAGATTTGAAGCCCTGTAAATGCTTCAAGTCCATAAAAAGAAAAAAGGTGAGATGTCACGGTTTTATCATGTGCTGTTTAGGGATAAAAGGAGTTACATTTTTACTGAAGCTACATCTCATGCTGCATCTACAAAAGGACCGACCTACATAATCAGGAGAAGAGCTATCCAGTCTTCAAAACTCATCTCTCCTAAAGATTTCTTTCCTTTTAATTTGTGCCATTACCACATTCATATAAGTCACAAAACAGAGTGGTCAAGCAAATCTAACAGCTGACACATCCCTAGATAGAAAAGTAATCTTCCTGACACCACCTCACCTGTGTTGGTCAATACCCAAATGATTTCTGGGTGCTTTGGCAGAGCTGAGGGTGGTAACAAACCGTGATGTAGCTACCATATGCCAGGTATTGTCTGCAACCTTGAATAAGGTCAGCTCCCTATTTGAAGCACAAACAGTGTGTGATCAGAAGGCAGACGCTGGAATACAAAAAGCTCTGACAAACATATGGAAAAGAAGGAAAAAAAAGAAAGCCAACAAGGTCTTCAGATGCAAAGGCTGCTCAAGTTTTCACTTACCAAAAGAACAGTGACATAAGAAGGTGGGATTTATGCAGAATGTAGAGTCTGTAATGCAGCCACTGGGAAACACAGACCTGGATTAGATGGCACCACCCAGCCACTGCACTCTTACCAATACTCAACAGCCAAATATTAAATCTTCCAGAACAAACACAAACCTCCAGAGTCTATAAATGGAATGAGTTCACTTACTGTCCATGCTCAAAGTTTATTTTTAAGGAAACATGTATGAGACGTGAGTTTTAAGAAATCCACACTCCGAATAGAAGCATGGACACAGATAAATATGAAAAACAAAAAGAATATCTTTCTGAATTAAAGGAATCAGATTTGTCAAAAAGCAAACCTCAGAATTTGTAGTTTCCATCAAAAAAAAGAAGAGGCACAAAGACTTTAATATAAAAGAGGTTTATTTGTCTGGTTTCTATAGTACATCAAACTAGATGTTGGATTAGTTGTGGCCAAGGGCAGTATATTGGTGGCAAGAGAGAACTTGTAATGTTCTTTGATTTCCTACTCTCTATAAAATAAGAAAAGCAAGGGACCAGCCAAAACCTATTCCATTTCCCTCATCCAGCCAATGGGTGGAGATCCAGCCCTGAAAAGAGGATTCTGGATTAACCTGCACAAATATGAGACAGACGATACAGCTCAGCACAATCCCTGAAAATTCTTCCCATTCAAAATCATACAAGAGATTCATGACTACAGACAGTTACAGATAATTTAACAGATAGAAAAAGAAATATACAGTCAAGTCTCTCAAACAACTTCATGAAGAAATCGCAGAGATTTAAGCAATGTCTCACCAATGTTTGTAATATAATTAGTCTCAAAACAGATTCTTTTTTCCCAAATGTACATTGGCTTTAACATATTTATAAGTCACCACGTACACAAACAATTTATTGCAGCCTGTTAGGGGAGCTTTTCCTGTGAAAATGGGGTGATTAAATGTTTATGACATGGGTCATGATTGTCCACTGCTGTACTTTTATTTCTTTGGTGGGAAGTTCTCACAGAGTAGGGATTTCAGAAAGAAACCATTCTGTGACAAAGTCACTGATATGAAAAATAGTCACCATATTCCCTAAAAGCATTTAATTACAGAAAATTCTGTTACATTCATTTAAAGGAAAATATTAGTTTTTCACATTGTGCACAGTTTTTTTTTGTGAAATCCGCATTTTGACACAGTCTCACTAAGAATTTGAGAACGGTTCACTATGAAATAAATTGGTACTAAACAAAATGTGTTTGCTATCTCTGTATGAAAGTTTATTGTGAAAAACAGAATGTGAGCAAGTGGGAACAAATTTGAGAGCAGATGCACTGGCTACTGCTATTAAATAGAGAGGCTTTTAAGAGTCTTCAAAGCAGCAGTCCGCAGGCAGTGGGAATGCAGCACTAAGATAAAATACCTATCACTGGCACTACATTTTGCAGTAAAAATAATTGATGAGGACTTGGGTAGAGTGGATTACAAATTGCAGGGTGCAAGCAGTAATTTCTGCTCTGGTCAATGTAGATATTAGATATATTAGTATAAAGACTGTCACTGGTACAATAAAGGGCAGAATAACCCACTAACAAGGAGGATTATATTTTGTTGATTGATAGGAGATTAAACTCCTATATTATCCAAAATTTGTTTCTACTGCTTTAAGGAAAAAAAAACCCTTTTTCTGCAAGCCCTGCATCAAATATTAATCAAGCCATAATTAAATAGGATAAAGAAAACTGTCTTGGTATCTAACTTGCAATCATTTACTTGGTGTATAAAATAAGCCAAGCTTGACTGAATAAAACTGTAATACTCTAATACTGGATTTTTAAATTTTAATGTTCTACTTTATTCCCAACTCCTTAATAGAAACACCATTTTTAACTGACTGTTGGTAATCTGTGGGATGATATTGTTGCTTATGAACAGTGCAGTGAGATGGCAAAGCAGGGCCAATATAGCAAGATGAGGCTTCAGATTCTTCTTTTGTATTACTTGAACTATTCCACTTTCACTGCAGGTTTTTTTTATTACATTTCTGTGACAGAGTACCAAGGTCAGAGAGACCAAGATAGAACAGCTCATCTACTCAGTGAGTGGTTACACACGTGCTTAAGGACTTCATAAAGCAAATAACTCCTTAACCAGATCTTAAAGGATCCTGGCTCACTGAGGGGTGCACAATCAAGCAGTCAAGATGAAATTATGAACTCAGGATCTACAGCTCCTGTGCTGGACTTTGCCAATGACTATTTCATTAATTGCTGAGAAGTCATTGCAGGTATAATGTGCTGTTGGACTAATTGTGGTTAACGAGAAGTTCATGGTTGACATCACCACAAGGAGGGATCTTTAACACAGAGTAGATAAAATAATAAATATTAGAAAAGAATCCTTTAAGAAACTCTGTCTTAAATATCCCAGTACCTTTGATTAGAGTACACCTCTGACACTCAGCTAACTACTCCTTTTAACGATGCCGATCTTACACACCTAAAAACTGATTTTTTATATTATCAGAACAAAAGCAAACTATTAATAGTTCCAAAATGCAAAATTTTTGGAAACACCTCAAGACAGAGAAGCTAAAGCCTGTTACAGGCATGGTGACTGGGACTGGAGCACTCAGCCTAGTAAAGAAGTCATGGTCATCTTTACATCTCTTCCAAGCATCAGATTTTAAAACTGATTGTATGAACCACTACTTCTGTGTTTAATCCTGTGCAGAATCAGGATCTTAGTATGACAAATAGTTTTAAAACAATACTTAAACTTATTGGTACTGAAGGAAAAAAAAGGGCCATAAATTAGCCTGTTTGATAATTAGTTGAGAATTTATGTTGTTTTCAGAGAATAAAATTGAAAACAACATAAATTATATCCTGTCAAGGAGATTCTCTAAAGTTTATTTACAAATAATGAGTTTTAAATAATGTAGTGAAGCATTTAATGGGGAAAGTTTGTTGTTTTGTTTTTTTTTCCCCTGCATGCTGGGAACACTTTCTTTTAACACAGATTACAGTAGAGATATAAAAAAAATAAAGCATAACTGCCTCACATTCAACATTATTAAATCTATCAGGCCTCTACCTACTTCAGTGACAATATTACTCTCCTTACCTTTTGAAAAATCCTGCAGATTATTTTTTTTCTTCTTCCATAATATGCTTGAGATATTTGGAATTATTAAAATACATGAAAATCAAATAGACTTTTATGTATCTACTCTGGTTAGTTATGAATCCATAGGATTTTTAATTCCCTGTGGGGAAAAGAAAATAGACAATATTTGAAAGGCCTCAGTTGTTAAGAAAAACGATGTATTATATCAAGGTGGGAAGAGAAGATAAATTCATGAATATACAGAAGAAAAGGAAAATGAAAGTCTGCACAGAAGTAAATAATGGTCACATTTAACCAACTCTATAGTGAAATATGTCCCAGGAAAAGACAAAAGCCAGCTATCTTTCCTTCCTTTCCATTGGTTCTTTTTGTTGAATTTCCATAAGGATTTGCATTTCCTGCAATGGGACATATGGAAAATTTAAAGTAGATTGTCCTTTGTGTAAGACGAGTGTATAGATGTGACAGAAATCAAGGCAGGGATTTAACCCCCAAATCTGAGTCTCCTTCTCAGTTAAGGGAGATCAAGATGAGGCTGGTGCAGCTCCTTAGGGATGATATGAAAGGAGGCTTGGCTGATGTGAAGGCAGGTAATTAATTTGGTGGACCTGCACCAGTTTTTCTGGTTGATCAGAAAGAATACTGAAACTAAAAAGTTATACATAAATTACTATGGAGTATTTATGTTCTGATTGGAAAGATATAACAACTAGACTGTAAACTCTACTTTGAAAAGTATGTAAAAAAAATATATTTCTCAGAATTCATTTTCTGGAGGCTAATTATTTCTGGTTTGCTACCCCATAGAGAGCATAGTCAACAAGCATGTCTCATTCTCAAATAGTCAAAAACATGAAATACATCGGGGCTCTTCAGATTTTACAGCATTCCAGAACAAAATCAATTAAGGCCCGTAGAAGAAAAAATTGTGTACTCAATTAGCACTACTCCAAAATAAGACATTAATGAAACTCTGTTAAATGTCCATCAGATTTTTAGTTAGCATGCTTACAATTTTGAAAATATCAAATCAGTCTAAAAATACCAAACCGATTCCATTCCTTCGGTCTCAGTGTCTTCTACAGAACAAGCTGAGGTTAATTGCTCTCTCTCTCTCTCTTCCCTTTATCTGAACTTTTGCAGCTCTGTACAAAATTCCCAATTAGAATACATGGTCTGTTTTCTACACTTCAATGGGCATCTGCACTAAATTTAACCAAAGGCTTTAAAGAAAAGAAGTAACTTATTTGAGATGACAAAAAAGAGCAATTTCACCAGAGATTGTTTTCTTAATGTTACCTGGAAATGAAAAAGGAATGTCAATAGAAAATTGTGACCTCTGCCTTCACTAACTTGTTCAACTGTGCCCAAAAACACCTGGGATGAGGGCAAGGGTGGATTATCCCTTCAAGCACCAAGTAAATCTACATCTCAGGATTGAATTTAATCATCTGAAAAAGACATGAAAATGGATGGGTTTGTCTCTAGTTCATCTCAAACCCAAAAAAATAACCAGCCATTATTTCAAGTCATCTAAGAAACCATGCAGTACACAGTGCAGCATTTCTGCAGCTCGTAAACTGGGATACAACTCTCAAAGCTACTTTTGCAAGTCAAAAAGCTGGAGATAAATGAACTCTTCAGGGTCTGCATTTGTGAAAAACACTGCCCCAGACACCTTCCGAGCTTTAGGGAATAACTATAGCCTCAGATAACTTGGATAATTGTGAGAACTACTGAGAATTCTCTCTGAATTGAAATGACTTTAAACCCACAATACAGTATGTTTTCTTTTGGTTCATCAAAGCAGGAGAAAGAAAGGAGCTCACCATTTCCAGCCTACACAGCCAGCTAATTGTTGTCTCCTTTGTAAAGCAGAATGCTCCTTATTTTTTCTGATCACAGTGAGAGAACTAAGGACTTTTCCATGTATTTTCTTGATGTCGATAAGGCTGAAAAAGTGTTAATAAAGCAGTCAAGTGAAATATCAAATGCAGTTGTTGCAATGCCTCACTGAAAATGGCCCTGAAAGGATGTGAACTCTCACATCAGAACCAGATGAGAGCTGTACATCTCTGTGAACCCACCCAAACTGTGCTGACACAGTGACACAGGGTGACACCTGCACTGAAGAAGTTTCTGCCCATTCAACAGAAAAGCTCTGGCCATATGAAATCCCAAGTATTGTCTGGAAGATTGAAGGTATATTATAATATTGATGATAAATGTTTACGTTATCCTATTCAGGGCCAAAGACTGCAAATAAAACTTGAAGTGCTTTTTAAATTATTTATTATTTTATTTATTTTTTATTTAATTATTTGAAGTACTTTCTTTAATCTACCTCTAATACTTGCTGAGGTACAAAAGTAGAGCCATAGAAGCTGGTGCTGACAGGACTGAGATAAGAGCCAAGTGGGTGCACACCCAAAATTCCAAAGGGAAATACTGTGGGATTAAATGTGGATACTGCCTGTAATATAGCATCTTTTATATATTTTGACAGCTATAGTGTTGTCAGATGTTTAATTAAATGAGATTAATTAAAATAATTATTTGTAACATTGAGAAATCTATAAATCTGCAACATCCAGATATTTAAATCTCAGTACTAGAAAGATGGCAAGCAGGATGATTTTGTGCTGTGTGGGACCTGATTTATTTCAGAGACAGTTTGTACAGGTGACTATTCCAGTTTCCAAAAAGAAAAAGCAGAGGTGAAATCCTACTTCTACAGATGGCCATCACAATGTGTCCTGCCTAATCTGCACTTCAAAGGAGAGGTGGGTGTCCTTTATTTTGAAACTTTCCCTCTCACTGTACTAAATTTAAATAATACATAAAATGTTTAGCTCCGAGGAGCAGCAGGAATTTAGCAGCAGAACCTGTCATGAGTGGCAGAGGGATGCAGGCTCAAGGACTGTGGGACTCTGCTGGCTCAGAAGTTATTGAGACCTACATGGATCCCTGTGAGGTTACAAGCTTGGCTCATTTTAGCTGCCAAACTGGCAGCCTGACAAGATCCTGCATTTCCCAGGCCTGCAGTCTTCCAACAGCCAGTGGAGAAATTCTTGCTCAGGGAATTTCTGCAATTTGAGTTCCAACCAATCACTCTCACTGTGAAACACCAAAATCCTTTGAAACACAGAAGCTGTTTTCCTACGTACTGTTACAGCTCTAAATCTTTCCTTGCATTTCACTTCATTCCCGTCTCTGAGATTCGAAAATATTGTATTTTGGAAAGATTTTTTTACAAAATAACGCTGTGGCTACAAAGTGAAGCTGAACAAAGCTGCACCTGCTAAAGAGACACACCTGCACTACAAAGGGATTTGGCTTGGGGATCCAGTCAAACCAGGACAACTCTATCATTTCACCCTCTGGTCAGCAGAAGGCAAGCTGCCCAAACCAGAGAAGTTCTTGCAAAAAGAGTAGGAAAAGAAGCAGATGGCCTTGGATGAGGATATCATACTTCAAGAAAATGAAAGTTAATAAAAATGAAAACCATAAAGTTAAATCTGAGGAAATAAAATACTTTAACTTTGCACAGATGTAATTTAAAGGCTCCATAAAAGATCTGAAAAAAAACTTGGAGGAGATAGAAAAATAGGCTCTAACCCAGTGACCAGAAACATTTCCTACCTACTTTCAGAACACTCAGCTCATAGCATATAAAATATTGAACTAGAAGAGAACTATCGATGTAGATGTAATGGATTTGTAAGTAAACTTGCTTTTTGTGTACATTTTAATAGTAATTTAAAGCCTCATATGTTTGGAATTGCTGAGCCTAATTTTTAGCCCTGAGCAAATTTTTATAGCTAAACAGCAAACTCTAATGATAAGGGTTTCTAATGGTCAGACTTAACTACTCCTCTGCTGCCAGGTATTGCAAATGGCACAGCTTACCTTTGCCAGAGCTGGTTCCACAAAAAGGGCCATTCACTTTTTTGCATAAACTCTGCAACTTGAAATTAGACATTATTTGGAGACGTTTAAACCTCATCTGTTTTAATGGAGAGCGTGTGTTCATTTTCTTTCAAACTACCTTTGAAAGGATCCTGAGCAAGTAATTAAAACTATTAGATGACATTTCAGTTCTCAACAGCTCTATCTAGCCTCAAATTGTTCTCTTTAGAAATGGCAAACATATTCAAAACAAATAATTGGGAGTTATTAAGAAAATCAAAACCCTGAGTGCTTTTCAATTCATTTACATCAAACTAATTTCTCTTGACCTCTAAATTTAAAACAACACTTTTTTTTTTTGCAGTTGATATAAAATGAAGAATAAAAGTTCCTGTTCTTTTAACCTAATGAAGGCAGAAGTCCAAACACAATTTCCTGTGCCCAACAGACTCCAGCATTCCCATTTTCTGATGACCAACTGAGAAGGAAATTGGTACTATTCCATTGTGTCATTCATTCAAGGAAAGGAGTAGTTCAGAAACGTCTCTATGAAAATGTTATTAAAAACTTGTTATTCCACATACAGCTGTGTTCTTTTAATTTTGGACAGGTCAAGAGGATTGGCAGTAAATCAGGGACAATCCAGCAGCAGGGTTCTGTTGTCTGCAGGGATAAAAAAAAAAAAAAAAAAAAAAAAAAAAAGCCAAAAAAGGGGACACACATGTTGCAGGATCCAAGGTTTCCATGGATAGTGAATCAAGGCTTTTCCTCCTCTCTAACTTAGCTACCATCTCAGATCAGGGGCAGAACAGGAAATAAATTTAAGATTTCCTAATTTTCAATTGTTTCACACACACATAGAGCATTCAAAGTGTTGCCAGCTGATTATGAAACTTTTCCGTAAACACCCATAAACTGATGAAAAGCACCACAGCACTCAAAAGAATCAGCTGGCATAAATTGGAACAGAAGCCTTGGACTTGCATTTTTAATACCTTTTAATCCAATCCAATACATTGAACACACAGAAAATATTCGTGCCTCAAATTTTCCCAATAACTGCCATGGACTCATTGCACTACTATGGTTTCTAATCAGCAGAAGATACCCATTTTTAACAACAGTATGACTGAGTACAGCACTACACCTCCTTAACTCTTGAAAAGGAAGGAAAAATAACAAACCTAATGTTCCTATAAATTGTAAAAGGACTGAAATTATTACATATTTTTAATTAAATGGTTAAGATGATAGAGAGCTTAAATCCAGTATTAACTAGAAAAATGGAATTATTTCAGTGAATTAAGTCTGATCATTGCAGAATTAATTGTATTTGCATAGTAATGTTTAAGTACTAGAAACTGCAAAAGGAAAAATTCTGAATATCAATTATGTTAATTATGTTGCAGACTATTGGGAGAAAGGAAAAGATAGGTCTTCTTCCCTTTATTTTCTTTAGTATGTGCTTTTCTGTGCACAGTGGAAAGATGAGAGCTCCAGTTGCTATAACAACTTAACTCTATTATAATCAACAATCATCTAAGTTTAATTGCCATCCTGTCCTTCTAAACCAATATATTCAACAGCAGTTGTATGAATTTCATAAATTTTGCTACTAAAACCTGTTGAAAATCTGAAAACAAGCTGAAGAATACTTACCCACCAGAGTCAAACTGAAGTTGTCCTTTCGTTCCTTACTGTAGCAATATACCATTTAAAATACTCTACTGTATCCATGAGAATGTTTGTCTTGGGACAGTTATCTTCTTACTAAATCCAAAACTAAATAAAAACCAGAATTGAAACTCACTGTATGAAAGTAAATAAATTAAAATAGCAATTGTAAACTTAAAATATATTAAATATTGCAATATTTTTTCTGATACTATAAGCATCCCTACCTTCTTCAAAAGCAACTCTGGTTAGCCTACCAACAAGAGTTAAGTTAGACATAAAATATAAAGTAATCAGAAGAAGAGCACTCAATGAACTTCAAAATCTAGTGTTGCAGACTAACTACAAAGATTATTACAAACTATACAATGAACTATAATAATTTCTATTGTTGGCCTCCCTAATGTTTCCTTTCATTATTCAACAAAATGACATTTGAAAAATGGGAAATTTGTCAGCATTCTTCAAATATTCTCTAATTCGGGCCCTGTGGGCTCAGAATAAAATTAAGCCTTATCATTTACCCACTAATTATGGTGTTTATCTGTAATAACATGCCTTGTAAGTAACATTGGAAAGAATCAGAGCAGAAGAAAAAAGTGGAATCAGCATCAAATGATGAAACAGAAGCTAAAAGAGGTCTTTTACATAAGGTACAAAAGATAAACAAGTGATGCAGTATTAACTGAGATTGATTGTTTCTTTCTGAACAAAAAGAATGGAGGCTCAAAACGTATTTAAACTTATGTACTTTTGCAACCAGTAGTTCCTGCCTCATGCCCTACATATCTTTTATATTCCAGTAACTTGCAAATAATGCAACGACAGCTCATAGGAACACTCAGAACAGCAGGTGCAGGGCTCACTTTCATTTATAGTACGAGGCAGAGATCCCAGAAAACTATTTAAATGCAATACTGGGAGCTAAACCCACAAACGAGCAAGACAAAGCTTAAAACTGGATGATACAAATCTTTCAGCCACAGCCAAATCTTTTGGCCAAGTATTAACTTGTTAACTATGCCTCTATCAGTGTTTGACAGTAAAGACACAGCTGATGCACAGAAAAATCAGAAAGGTGGAATTAGCCTGAAAACATGGTTGAAATTGCAGCTGAGCCCTCAAGCAGAAATGTGAAAGTACTGGAACCATCTTGGTTATACACTAGTCATCACTATCCTGGTGGAATGATAATCTTTCTTATCAGTTAGCCATTATGAAAAGAACTATTTCAACAACACTGAAAATAAATCACATTCATTAAACCTAACCCAATAGCTATTAAACCCACTGAGTCGTTTCCTTTTTGAATATACTTGTTTTAAGATTTAACACACTAATTCATTTTAAGTTACTTGTACATCTTTTATTTACTGATTAATGAATACAGTACATAAAAAAGAAGCAAACAAAAAAAACCCCATAAGAAATAAAAAAAAAAGCAGCTAAGTAAAACTATTAGCGCAGTAAAGGGAAAAAATATCACAATAAAAACTCCACCCTGCAGTCCTATCAGGATGTAAAACAACCAAAAAGGTACTGGAATTTAAGCCTTTTTATCCATTTATTTGTCTATTTTGTTCAATTACAAAGAATATTTACATTATATATATATATATAAAACATGAGGACTTTGTCAGGAAGTCAGAGCACTCTAAAAACAAATTGTACTGAATTTTTTGACAGCAGGTGAACAGTTCTTTTATCAGAAATCAATAATTCTAAAACATAATCATGAAATAAGAACAACTGATAATCTTTGCTAAAGGGCCAGTTTGGAGAATTGCAGCACTGAAGAGACAGAATAAGCTTTGACTCCTGTTCCAAAAGTAGCATTTCATAAACTAGCAAAAAATGGCTTTCTTTTGATCTTAGTTTATTAGATCCAGATCAGAGAACAGAATGAACTATTTATCTTTAAAAAGTAATATCTTTTTGATTATATGTCATAGCAGAAGTCTTATCTTTGTCTTGGAAGTTTGAGACTAATGACGCCAACACTGGGAGTCGTGTGAACCCTGACAGTGGCTCAGCCAATTACGTGATGAACGATGGAGATGGAAAGTTCTTTACTCCTCTGCGACATTTCTAGAAACCATAATTCTGAAAATCTAAATGGAGTCATTGCTTTTCACCCCCGTGGGCAGAGCCATAATTCCTCACATATACATCCTAACTGGGTTTTTCTAATAGCTCCATTCGTTTCTCAATCTCTCTAATAAGATTGCCAGAGAGGACAGCTTGTCTCTGGCACATTTCTCTTCCAGAAAGGACAAAAATCAGCTGGGCTATTATTCAGCCTTTCAGCATCACATTTTGGTCATTAGAACTTGTCAAATTAAACAAACTAATATTGCAAATGAAAAAGAAAAATGGAAGGGACAGAAGAAGGCTCTGTGGTTCCTGTGGCTTCCACAGCACACTTTGAGAAGTCAAAAGTGTTTGAAAAGTATCTCCTCACTTCTGAAACACAGAGGGATATTTACTAAGCTGAGGCTGATATCTGGCATTCACTATGTGGTGTGAAAATTCTCACAACAATTTATAACTTAAAATTAAAATCATAACCAAATAATGAAGTGCCACTGCACATAGTAAAATTGAAATGTAAAAAACATCATTTTAAATTAGAAAAAATAATTTTTGAACAATTTTTAATGCAAGATATAAGCTAAGAAAACCTCTCAGTTAAAAACAAAAAAAATAAAATGAAGCTTTTAATATCTTTTAATATTTTCAAAAAGACTACAGGGAAAAGAAAAGCAGTGTGGAAATCAAATTACTTTGCAATAAAGTTAAAGAAAAACTCTTCTCGATCACACCAATGATATATCATTACAATACATGAAACTGTAGCTCAGAGTAGCAGCAAGAAATTGCTACAAAATTTTATTTAAAAAAAATGCAGCAAGTGAGAAGCTTACCTTAATTTGTATAATGGGAAATATCTATGTCATGTCAAATGCGTATATGAGAGTTCTCATGTGATGGGGGAAATTATAGGTTTACTCTTAACATAGTTTAGGTTACACAGTAACCAGTGAATTGCAAAAAGGCTCCCCAGGAAAAGGAGGAGTTGGTTTAAGAAGTACAAAGGAAGCCTGGTGATTTGTAAGGGACAAATTCCTTGGAATAAAAGAACATTGTTAAAACCTGGTCTGGCACTTCCAGAAGTTACCCTGTCAGCAACTACAGCAACTTGTTAAACTTTGTGAGCAACATGATAACAAGTTTTCTGATGAAAAGATGGAGGTTTGTGCTAAAATGGTTTCATTTATACTGAAAAACAGAGACTATCTTGTCCTACACCTCACAGAACTCTCAGTTCAACCTGAGTGCTGGTGTAGGATTCACATTTCACTGAATTATTCTGCATTAACACATATGAACCATCCAAAAGCATTGGTTTAAAAAATGCATCTCTTCAGAGGACTAAAAAAAGCTATTAGAAATGTAAAGCCCTACAAGTGCATTAATTCAACAGACCTTAAGTAGAGAAGATCTGTACGTAATTTTTCTGCTACTCAGTCAATATATACATTTCCATCTCTGAATTAAGATATTCCTAGTCATTTTATTTTATATTAATTCCAAGAAATGTGAAAGTTATTAAAGTAAAAGTAAAATACTATTTGCTGTAGTGGTTTCTTCTGTAAGTTCTCGTTTCTCACCATGTCCAAAATGCTTCTGTTTCAGCCAACTCTTGAGGAAACAAAACACCATTATATGTATAATCTCCTACCTGCGCCTTTGCCTCATAGTTCAAAGACTGAGAAGAAAAGAAATTTTCATTGTTCATTTGAAAAAGAGCAAATGGAAACAGAAACTGAAGAGAGGACTTGGATTTTGATAGAGTTGACTTTCTTTGAAAGAGAGAAAATATAAGAGTGCAAATATTGTAGTGAGTGAAAACAGGGTCGACATCACAAAGAATGTTTGTTGTCTGATAGAAAATGTGCCTTTGAAAACTTAGCAAACAATATCAAAAGCTTAGGTTTTGTCTACAGATATGACTGGTAATATCCAAACCATCCAGTTCTTTTAATACAATAAACTCCATTTAATTGAGCTCAGATGCAGTTCACTGCAGTTCATTTGTGTTAACTTTCTGGCAAGTTTTAAAATGAGAACAAATCCCATTTACCCACACCTAATAGTATTCACAATCTGACTGAACAATAGCATCTGTAGCTGAGAGTATGGCTATAAAATGGCTGAATGCCAAATACTGCCTTGATTTCAATGGAATGCTTTGTCTTAATGTGGTTTTCTTATTTAGGCAAATACTGATTGAAAAAATTCCAGAACACTGGCCAATTACCTATTGAGGAAGAAATATGTATTCCTCAAGAATAGCTAAAAAAAAAAAATAACCCAGAAATTCCAGAATAAATCTTTGTGATTGTATCTTTTACTTTCATGTGCTGTTTGCACAATTCTGTATGTGACACGTGTATTTTTGGACAGATGGACAAGAGGCAGGAGGGGGCCCAGCCAGGACAGCTGACCCAGGAGGGCCAGAGGGGAAGTCCCTGCCATGGACTGTCATGCTCAGCAGTCACACCAGGGTGGTTGGGGGTCTTTCCAAAGTCACTACAGCTCAGAGATTGGCTGGACATCAACCTGCTTGTGGGAGGTGGAAGTTACCTGTGTTTTCATTTTGCTTTTTAATTCCCCTTTCCCTGACATGTGAGTTTTCTTGCTTTGTTTTTCTCTTCTCTTCTCTTCTTCCGTCACCCAGCCGGGAACAGGGGGTGAGGGAATGGTTGTGTCATCCTTGGCTGCTGACAGGGGACAACCAAACCCCTTTGAGTTCAGAACTCATGCTGAGTAGCACATGCCACTGTTTATGTTCTTTGGTTGGAAACCCCTCAAAACTGGCCTGTCCAGACTAACTCTCTTGGCCATCCTCGTCCTGATTCGAGATTCAGTGCTCATGTTACAAAATTCAGCCTAGTAAGGCTGAACCCAGGATTAAGTGGTGAAAGTCAGTATATGCAGAATCATAAGAGCCAGATCAAATTTTTCTTTTATGTTCAAATGCATATTTTTATGGCAAAAAGCACTGATTAAATCTGGAGCTCTGAAATAACACCTTTTTGTTTGTTTCAGTATAAGCATTTCAGTGCATTTGTGTAGCTACTTCACAACTTGACAGCTACCTTCATGATATTTTTAATTAAAAGTCATTAAACACTTCAAAGAACAGCTAGCCACAGTGCCACTTGGCAGCTTCCTTTGTTCTGCTCAAGTAATGCCAGAAACAGAACACCACTGACAACACCTTCCTGGGATTCAAACGAGTGGTTTTCTGAAAGCTTCCACCATCTACAGCCTTTTCCTCAAATGATTAAATTTAAGCTTTTGGTAATTTTTGGCTCTTCTATTTTCTCATGTTGTCACCAAAAGGGACCCTGTTCAGAAAGAACTGTTGGGACAACAAACAGAACTGCATCAGCACAGGCTTTGCACACTGTAACTTTCTTTTCAGTTTTAGTATTCAAAGGAAAAGGTTTATTCTCTCACACTGAAAACATCTCTTTGTATAAACCACATTCTGTCTCAAAATAAAAATAACATTCGATAGTTTTAAGATAAATGTATCTTAATTTTTGAAACTTTTTTGAAATGTACCACGGTCATCCTGAGTTTACACAGAGCAAATTCCATAAATCATATAGACTCAAAGCCCCAAATGCCCAGATATTTGATCCCCTCTTCCCATTCAGCTAACAGGATAAAAAGGCATTTATAGAATATTCACTATGACCATGGGAATAATGATAACACCCCAATACCCTTTGCCCAAAGGTGAAGCAGACAGTTAGTATAAACCCAGGTGAACTGCTTTGACCTGTGCCCTTGGAGTTTTGTGCCATATTTGGCAAGAAAGGCATGGTCTGTATTTCACACACTGCACCACTCTTTTTATGTGATGTATATTTTCATCAGTAATAGTTAATTGGAGTACAGGAATCAATTACTGCCTTCCCATTCTAGCTGCAAAAATCTCATAATTCGTAAACTACATTGTTTTGCCCCATGAATACTAAAACCAGGTTAAGTGAGATTAGTACTGAAAACAGGTTAAAAATAGCTTTATTCACCAGAGAGAGATGAATTTAAATGTTATATATTCTGAAGGAGGAGCAGAGGGAGAGGGGACTAAGAGGTCTCACAAGGGGGATTAGACTTTGCTACTTAATAAAATATTAAGTGACAATCAATCAAACTGGAATGTGTGGGAAGCACAGTTTTGCAGAACTGCTCTTTTAGGATTTGTTTTCTTTCAAATTTGCATTCCTTTCTGCATGCTTTGGAGATATACGTATGTTGGCTGTTTAATGATTAGAAATGGCTTTGATCTTGACTACTTGAAGGAACATAAAGATATAAATAGTATGAGTGGATATGATTAATCCTAGTAATGACAAACATAACAAAAACCCAAGATAAGCTTTTCTGAATTTTTCAACCATACCTTAGGAAGTTCAGTCTTAATCTCCTGCCATTCCTACAGGAATGATCTACAGGAAAGGTCAGAAACACACCGGTGTTCAAGGTCCCCAAACACCTCTAGTGCCAGTTTATCAAAGATAAGAAGCTGGGAAATCAGAAACATCAGCTTTCTGCTTGAGTAACTGCCACTTTGCTTTGAGATGGACTAGAGAGCAAGAAAACATCCTTCCTGCTATAGCATCACTGCCAAAATAATGAAATAATATGCAGTAACCAGGTATGACACTGAAAATAGCCCACTGATATAAGAAAATGTCACCAGTAGATAATAAGTGCCTAAAGGCCAGGGTTTGATAGCTATTTATAAGGTATGAAGCTAGAACTCTTATCAGCTTAAAAAATAGAACTCTCTACAGCTTAAAAAAATGGCCTCAAGTTGTCATTAAGATGACAAAATTTTCTGCATCAGTGTGAGAGGGCAGTAAAGTGAGATGAGAGGAAGAGCTTTTACAATTAAAAGAGGAAATTTTTAAGGGTAAAATACAAAAAAAACCCAAGAAACGTCTACAAGACATCATCTCTATTGTGTCTTCAGATCTCATCTCCTCAGAGTATTCTGGAACCCAGCAGTTCCAGAATACACCTGTCTTACAAAGTGGTGACTTTCAAAGTCTGTAGTATCTTGAGACAGCATTGCTGAAACCTGAGCTCTTGTTTCCTCATGGGCATAAAATACATCAAATAGGTATATATATAATCTGAACTAAATCCTTAACCTACTTCTTCTTAACAGCAGCTTTAACAGAAGTTGATTACTTCTAGTGAAACTACAGAAAATTAAATGGAATATCAGAATTAAAAGGAAAAACAATGGACCAATTGCTCCACCAAATAAAGTAAAATTTTAGAGAATTCTGCTGCATTTTTCAGCATTCAGTTGACTGGAAGACAAATTCTGTTTCCTTCCATTACCAGCCACTCAGTTCTTTTTCATGGATTCTTTCATGCATTCAGGGGCTACTCAACTAAAAGAAAATTAACTTACAGACTAAGAAGTACAGTACAACAACAGAAAATTAATGAATCAGGGAAAATTTTTCAAAATTCATATTTGAATAAAAATGGCAAAATCATGAATGAAAGACCATATAATGCCATAGTGAACATTTTTTTTTTCAAAACTAGTTTAGTAGTTTCACAGCAAAACACATAAACACAAAGCAATTAATTACTTTAGCTTCCCTTCTTTCCACTTGTTTCTTTCTGTGTATTCCCCCACCAATGGCTTGAATTCTTTACAGAAGCATGAAACCTACACCCCACTCCTCATAAGCTAATGAGTGTCTAGACTGAAACAGTCTCATTTCTTAAAAAAAAAAAAGTTTCTTATTTGGACCAGCCCTATTCAAGCTATTTGTGAGAAAAGTACCATCAGTAATTGCATTTTGAAAGGAATATTACCCAAAATAACTGTACTAAGACTGTACCCAGTGAAGCCTGGATTTCAGTGATAATCTTTCAACACTAAAGATGTTTGTACTCAATGGAGGAGCAAAACAACTTCATTAAGTTATCTGTGTAATTCTTAGGTATTTCCAACAAATTATAAAGCTCTGATCTTTTGAAAAGCACAACAGAGAGACAAATAAGATGGTAATATTATATGATTGTTATTTTCAAACCATTTGAGAAAACTTACACCCTCCCAGAGTGCAGACATATTAGAAAATGATTTATATACAAAATTACATAGTTCAGCATCCCATTGTGATTGAGAAGATGCTACAATATTGGTACCTATGTTTCACTCCTGGATTACTCTAAAGCAAGGCTAAGTAGTACTTTTAAGTTTTACTGTAGCAGTTGCTTTTATTTGGGAAAATGGGAGGAAGATTTGTATTTAGTATAATGTATCATTAACTTTCTCTCTGTTATATAAGTGTAATAGTTTTTGCAAGTATCACCCTGACTATATTTGGAACAGAAGAGACATTTGATAATAAAACTTAGGAAAACAAAAACCAAATCAACCTCTAAGGTCTTAATCAAACAAGTATTATAAAGTAAAAAACTGAAGAGCCAGCAAAACAAAGAAACATAGAAACAATTCTAACAGTTCTATTGGAGCAGCTTTTTCCTTGGATCAACACCTGGAAACCCTCTGGAAGCTCCAGCCAGCAGGTAACACAGGTAGTAATTGGCCCAACAGTCTCTGACACTGTAAGAAACCTCTCTGTCCTTCCCTCTGTTCACATCATCAGGATTTCTAACTCTCACCTCAGCTCTCAAGGTGATCATTCTTCCTGGCTTCTGGATAATATTCCTTCTCTATCTGTAATTGGCTCTACAAAGCCCAAAGGAAGTTTTGCAACATCATAAAGAGTAATTAAAAATGTTCCTCTAAACAGCAATACCTTCAGGGTCCAGGAGGAAGGAGAAGTTTTCCTGTAAGATGTGTTTGTAGGAACAACCATCACCAGCACTGAGCTCTCCAAGCTTCAACCAGCAGAGGCACTGATAGAGCCTAATAATATTAATAAAAAGCCCTTCTAAATGAAACATAAACATTTAAATGTTTCCTGACCCACAGATGAGCTGATTAATTCTGTAGACCTGTCTAAGTGAGTAAACAGGGGTGTAGGTGAATGGTGTTTGAACACATTGTGACAGTGTGATAAAAACAGACAAATCAAAAAAAACCTAAACCCTGCATTTAAATAAGATGATGACATATACATGCAATTTCTCTGCTGGAAAATCTGAGTTAATGTGAAAAGATTACTGAAATAAATGTATTTATAAAGCAAGCCTAACAAAGGACAAAAAAGCTACCAGCACCCCCAAAAAAACCCCAAATCGACAGATGATATAAACTCTTTTTTTTCTCTGAAGAAATGTGCTCTAACCCTGTTCAGGATGTAGTAGAGTGATTTTAACTTGACAGCTGACAACACATGGTACTTACATGGACTGCTCTCAGCCTGTCAGACAAACAGCCCTCCATGGTTCCTGCAGTAACAGGGCTGGTCTGAGGCTAATGAATTCCCCCACTCATATTCTTTTAATGTGTGCATTTTACAGCTGCTGAGACACAAAAATACAGGCTTTGAAAATTAGAGATTAACTCAGTTGCTTGTGGAAGGAGGGGTCAGGGCATGAATGATACAAACAAGGCACATATTATGCACATGGTGGCTCTCTAACATTAAAAGAAAGCTTCACAACTCTATATATCCTTGTTTGTACTCGTTGGGCTCAGGACTTCAACTATCTTTTGCAATTAAATCTATCAAACTTCAAGCTCCCAATTAAAAATTTTCAAATGCATCATGCTCCAGGGTGTCTGAAATTAAAAACCACTTTACATGTTTGTCAAGTCCTCTTTTGTAATTTTTACAGTGTTGCTCTTTCTGCTGCGATAAGTGCTGCCAAACCCCTTTCCATTTATGTGCCACCACAGAAGAGAAAATAAACAAAACTCCTTCAGACATTCAGTTCATTCCAAACTGCAGAGTTTTGTTTCAACAGTGGCTGCTCCTACCTTTCCCAGGCATCCATTCTCAAGAGGAGGACAAGGGGGAACGAGAGGTTGTCTTCATGTTGCCATACCTACAGCTCCAGAGAGCTAAACTGGAAGCAGCACAGCACTGAGCTGTGCAATTGCTCCTTCCAACATTGCCTCCAACAGGCATCAGCTAATCACAAAACCCAGAAAGATCCTTGTAAGTTCATGTCACCTTTTGGTAAAATGGAAGAGGGAATGACTGTTTTCACTGAGTATGAGGGTACAGCCAGTTCCTAATTTTTCCTAAGCCCCTGGGAAAGAAAAAAAAAACAAACAAAAACAACCAACTACTAATTCAAAAACTCTTGAGAAGTCGGTAAACCTTTACATTTTTTTCCTCAACAAACTCTTCTTCTAGACCTGAATGCCTCCTATATGATGGTCCAAGTAAATATATCTATAGATAAAAGAGGTTTATTCATTATATGTTTCTTAAGTATTCCTAAAATAAACTGTTTCATGCCTGTAGTGATGGTGTGGTGAGTGTCCTACCATGGAAATGGAAGCCTGCTTTTGGCCTTCTCTCAGAATTGATTCACCAGGAGAGAGCACCTAAAACCAATGTTGTGTCTTAAAGCAGATTATGAAAGGACAGATAAACACAAAGACACTGTTCTCAATTCATATGAATATATATTAAAAAATGTGATGTGACCAATATTGTTTATCCACCAATGGACACTGAATGAAAAACTTACAGTGGGAGATACTGAACAGCTGGATTGGAACTGCAGGAGCCTCAATTCCCTTTTTCTCTCCAATGGCTTCTCTCATCTATAGAGAAAATGAAAAGACTTCAAATCCAAAATGGCTGAGCATGAGAGAGAGACAAAATGCTGCAGCTTAAATCTTCCTTTGCCGTTTGGTAACACTGTAGGCAACAATCTTAACTAACTGTTTCCATTTCTGTTAACTTCAATTCCTATTTTATCTTTAAAAGGAAAAGACAGAGACCATGGAGGACCCAAACTAGCATTTCCCTGTAAATACAAAATATTATGTATTTAGGAGACAAACAGCAGTTAAAACAGAAGTATGAATACAGTTTAAAAGGAAATAGTACAGTACAAGTAGAAGTCACACAGTGGGTATAAAAGGAAAATGCAGAGCCTTAATTATGAATTACACTTGAGTTGTATAATGCCAGGGGCAGACTAAAATTATTTATTTTTCCCTTTCCATCAATTATATAAGGGACAATTTTTTTCCAGGTTACACTTTGCAAGCAATGTTTATGATGTGCCTAGTATTTTGTTTACTTAGTTTTGCAAAACATCCCGGTTTGATATTGCACTCTTACCACAGGCCCTTGAAAATTAAAACATGTTCAGAGAGAATTCTTGACATTGATCTTTTCCCATTGTAAGTGTTCCCTCTTTTTTCTCAACCCTGCATGAACATTAATACTTGTATTTCATAAATGTGTGCCTATTGTTTTACCTTCTATACCTTGTAAAACAAAATCAATGTTCTCTGATGAGACAAAGGTAAGGTTTCCAAGTAAACTCTGAATTTCTTCTCCTTGAGCAGCAAAAATGAAGATATCTGGAAGACAAATAGGAATCTACTCTAAACAAACACTGACACAACCAACCAGGGAGATATTTCTTATGCTTCCCTTGAAGATGCAAAAACATCTCTGAGCAAGTAATTACTTGAAGGGAATATCTGAACCAGCACATCTCCACTTCCTAAGGAAAGCCAGAGAGAAAACACAGCAACACATATTTGGGGGACCTACACATGGAACAAACACTTCCCTCACCCTCTCTCTTTCTCTCTTTAAAAGGATCCAAACAATTTCCTTTTATTCTAGGTAGCTGAGGAGTGTTAGAACTAAAACAACAGCTTTTTAAAGCTCTAAACATACTAGAGAACACTGGGGAACTGAAAAGCACCATATCCTTGAAGAAGGAAAATACAATATAAATCCAAAGCTTAGGAGGAGAGGAACATCATCAAAAGGATGCTATCTATTTTAACCTAGGTACATGAAGCTTCTCTTATTTCTAACACAGAAACACTGAAATTCAGTTTTAGAAACGTGGATTTAATTCAAACTGTATCCACAGTTTTAGAATCTCACCTCTTCTGCTGCTGATTTGGGATTTCAGCACTGCAGAGCAGCCAAGTTTAGATGAACAAGAGAACAAATGCTTTCAAGACTTCCTGTTCTGCTTGACTTGCTCACTTGGAGAAAATTCAAACCAATAAAAGAGAACAAAGGGGTACTTTTTTTCCCAGGCTATAGTTTCTTTGTTTGACTGATTCCTGACCATCCTATTAAGAAATCTTCCAAGCTTACCAGTAAATGCAATAAACACCACAACTTCAGGAATTTGTTCTACAAACCTCTTGCCTTAAGAGCTTGTCCATAGGCTCTGGGTTGGTGAAATAGTTTCAGTTTTCTTTTATTCCACATTCTTTGGTGGAGAATTGCTTAAAAATGGTGCTTGGCCTTCAGTGGTTGCTCATTACAGTTTCGTCTGCTTGTATTTGTGGTTTCCTTGAAGATCAAGCTCACTCCTTAGCTGACTTTTTTCAAACCTCACTGTCAAAACTTCTGCTGAGAGTATTAAGTTTAGTTCAAAACCCAGAATCACAGCTATTTGAGCCAGGTTTTCAGAGTGGATCATACCTTAAGGAGCAAAATACGTTGTTCCAGTCAGACACACTGATTTATCACATACAAAAATATAAATGAAACGTATTTCACAAAATCCTTCTCCAATAATTCTAGAAAGATTTCTCTGCAGGAGCACATTCTTCTCTCAGCCTCCTGAAACTTAGGAACAGTAACAACAGCTATCAGTGGCTGACCTGTAAACAGAGGCATTTTCCATATATTGCTTGATATGCACGGAGTTTTGAGGATATATTACTAGGAATGAGGTGTTAATGGTCCTCCTCAATGGGAGTTGGAAGCAAACATGTTAACTGACCTCATTTAAATAAATTAATACTAAGCAGTCAAATGGAATACCTCTGTATAGTTAAATCATGAAAGAGGATGCCTGGTGCTACCACCTGAGGCAAAGAGGTCAGGGAGAATCATGGAGCTAACAGGTGTAATTCCTACTTTATTCCTAAGGTGCTGGAGGAGGCTGAAGCAGAGAACTGAGGGCAGCTCTGCACCTCCTACAGCAGCACAGACCTCAGGTCTTCCCCTTCCAGAAAAGCTGGAGGAGGAAAGCTGCTTGCTTATTGTGTTCCTGACTCTTCACGGAAAGAGAAAACACTCAATCTCTTTAGAAATAAATGAATTGCAATAAGAAAATCCCTGAACATGCTGTCACAATTTATCAGCCAAAGAACAACCACCTTACTCAAGTAGACAGGAATATCCCTAAATGAGGACTGACTGGAGCCCTAAGGGCCTTCTAGGACCCAGTAACCACGTGGTGGTGACTTTCAGCAGGTTTTCTTACTGAAGGAAACAAATCTCCTTGCAGCAGCTCCCCATCTTAAAGAGCTTTCAAGAGTTCTGGTTTCCAGGCTAAAAAAGTGACATTTGACAAGTTGCTCCTCAGCGAAGCAGAACTGGCAGGGTTAGTGGGTCACTGGTGAGCTTGTTCCCTAATTGCACAGGGGACAAGGTTTGTGCTTCTTGAATGACAAACTTGCCAGTTTGTTCAGGATGATCCTTTTCTTTAGGATGTAGTTCTACCCTAAAGAAAGTACCAGTAAAATACAGTACCTAATACACAGAAATCCTGAGACACCAGGTAAATTAAGCTGACCTAGAACCTACATGCTTTTGGAAACCTGTGTAATTCTTCAACACTCTCAGTGAAACATGTGAAAGCTAAAATCCTCCCATGTAAAATTATTTCATTTGTTTTCTGATAGAAATAAATTCTTTCAGCATAACAGAGTTTTACTAAATAAGCTCAAAGGGCTAATAAGATGTTTGCAGAGGTTTGAGGGTTCATTTTTTTTCTTGTACAGAAAATATCATAAGCTCTCCTCACCATATTTTGTAATATTTTTTCTCATTTTCAATGGAATCCCACCACAGATACAGTCCTTCACAGGGATGCAGTATATACTGCCAGCCCTGAGGAATGACACGACAAGCACAATGAATATTGCAACATCAAATGGAAATTAATAGAAAGGGAGATATAACTAAGGTAATGATACCCTGTTGTAGTAGATTAAACCAGCAAATGAAATTAGTAGGTAAATAACATTTACTTGCACTGTTTTATCTGTTCCTGATTATCATTATCCTGAAAAATAAGACATTTGTTATTGCTTTAAAAGCCATCATTAAATATCTGCTTGCTTCTTTCAAACTGACAATGTCATATTAAACAAACAGGTTTTCCAAGTTTTAAAAAAAATGTAACATTTAAACTTTACAAGGACATAAAATGCATTCAATTCTTACTTTACATTCAAATGTCTCCCTGCATAATATTCATTAGATTGAATTAAAATGGCCATTCTGGATGCCAGGTCAGCTGTGTCTGCCTTTGAAGTTCTTCACGAAGAATAACAATTTCAGCTTTTGTCTGACTACCAGGCAGACTTTCCACAGCAGCTGTGCCAAGAAACAGACCTCACAGTGTATCAGGGCTCCTGAGTGTGACCAGCATGAATTCAAGAGCAGACTTAGAATAGATTAGTCTCGTAGAGTAATTCAGAGATGCTGTGTCGTGGTTTGCCCACAGATCTGCCAGAACGCTGCAGATTTTTCAGGAACGTTTTAAGGTGGCTCCAAATGTCCCCCACCTCCTGGACCAGGCTGGCAGGGTGTGAACCTGCACTGGAGCTAAACCTCTACAGTTGATCAAGGTGGGTCTGCTGAGAATAACATGGTGAGCTGAAATTAGATTGTTATTCCTCCCTCCAGCTCACACCTACAGCACTGGCTGAGCCAGGAAGCTGGGGACGAGGATGTGTGATCCAAGCACTTGGCCTAATTCAGCTGATAACTCTCTTTCCTGAAGCTCCTCCCTGCTCTTTATGAGCCTGAGGAGTATTAGTATTCTTAAGGAAGTGAAAAAGTGTCATGATTCACAAGAGGAAAACGAAAATAATCCATCTACAAAGCTGAAACTGCTACCATTAGAAAGCATCAAACATGACTAAGTTTGCATGATTTACAGGGTAATTTATAGGCTGTTCCAAAAAGAGGGGTTATCTGAAATCTTTCATGTTCTTCCTTTCTTACAACAAACAAATGCCTAAATCTGAACAAACAGGAGAAAAGAAAGTCTTGACTGATTTTTTAATTAAAATTAAGGCAAAAACCATTCAATATGAGGCAACCTTTTATTTTAACACTGTGACAAAAAAACTTCCCAATCTATTTGGATCATGAGAAGAAGCGATGCCCTCAGCACTGAGTCAGCAGATACTGACAAACCCAGAAAGGCTGCACTCCAAGAAAAAGTTCTCTCCCCCATAAATGTCTTTTACCCAAGCAACACTTCTGTCATCTGCCACTGGGAAAAAAATTCTCACGAGCTTCAGAATGCTGCAATTTTCTGGAAAGCTTGTTGCCTAAAGAAAGAAAACATTTGTATACTTGGTCTGTATTTATTCTCTTGTATACTCTGGTGTTAAGAGAAGGGATATGTAGGAGTGATCCCCTTCATTGTGGATATAAGGTTTGCTTGTGGCTGATGAAGAGTTATTAAATGAAGTATTATGTGACACTGCACAGACTTACAATAGCAGAAACAAGAACCACCCTACAAAAGTTTTTTAAAAAGGAAGAAGACCTCATTTATTTTCTATCTTTAATAAGGTTATATGGCAGCTAAACTGTGCATAGGTCAGGAGAGTTCTTTGTGTTATCAAAAAATAACAATATAGAGGAAATAAGGACTCTGTTAAGAAGGTGAGAAAGGAACTGCTACTATGCAGTCCTCAGATAAACAAATGCACAATAAGAGAACAAGGCATTTGTCCCCTCCTATCCACACAATCATGCAAAAGCCATTTTGCATCCTTCTTTATCCACCTGTGATACCACAGAGCTATCTCAGATTTGAACTGCACAGTCCTTGACTAAATTCTGTGATCTAGCAGGAGAAGATCATACGCTTTCATTAATATATATCAAAATGCCACTTCATTCCTAATTCACGGAAAGGAAGGATGTAACAGAGGAAATACCACTTGCTCTTTGTGTACCTTGTGGTGACCTCACCTGGTCCCTTCATTTTCACTAAGTATAACAAGTGCATGAAAGTACATATTAAGAAAATAACCTTCAGAATTGAAAAAACACTCACTTTCATAATAAACCACATTCAATTTTCCTAATTACATTCTTTGTTAATCTGGTCTTTCTGTTACATGTAATTTTTCAAAGGTTCTTGAATGACAATCAAAGTCAAAACTTTTAAAGGGAAAAAAAATATCTGTGTGTTTCTGTCCAGGATCAGAAAGGAAGGGATACAAAATAAAAACTTTCTTTGTGGTTTTCAGAAAAGTTTATTCTAAATTTACCAAGGCAACCTAAATGTCACAGCTGTCACAAACTGTTCAGGGTTTATAATACTC